TCCATCATCGCAGATTGTCCCCCATTCTCCATTGTAGAATATTTCAATACGACCTATTCCTTTTGCACTCAATGGCCCTTGTAACCTCAGCGTTTCCGATAGATTCCCAGTGGCAGCTGTTTGGAAGAACATTCGAAATGTCGTAGCAGCACTTTGAACTGTCGGGGCAGGGACGTAACTAGCGCGATAATATTGGTGTGCATACTCATATATTCAGTTCTGCCAGACGGATTTCTGCAAACGCCAAAAATAATTTTGTCATGAAGAATGAGTATATGGATATGGATATGCACCCACCACAATTATCGTGTCTAGTTACGACTTGGGAGTGGAAAAATTAATAAAGACAGATGATAGTATGGTATGGGAACTTGTACGTAGAAGCGGACGCCTGAGAAGCAATTTTCCTGATTACTTCGCCCATATCTGATAATATACTAACAAGTTTCTCGTTGTCTCTTGCCATACCTAAATACAGCTTTATGCTTTTTAATCTTTGCCTGATTTGCGTTTTTCTGGAGCTTAATTTACCTGTATTAATGCAATGCACGCCAGCGTCCTGGACATGACTGCAGTCATGTTTTTCCCAGCCCTGATGAGAACAGCTTTGCAAATATGGTTCTATACCAGTACACGAGACTTCATCCAAAAAGATTTTTCCAGAACCAGACAAAACTTGTTTACCTCCTAGAGATTCGAGAGCACCTGAATAACCAAGCTGGCGACAAACCACCTTAGCATCATTTATATCCCATTCATCATCGCAAATGGTTCCCCATTGTCCATGGTAGAATACTTCAACACGACCTATTCCATAAGCACCCATAGGACCTTGTAATCTCAGTGGCACAGGCTTTGTATCAACTTAAAAAGAAGAAGACGAAATCAAACATTTTGAAAATTTTGGGAATCATTAGTGTGTAGATTTAAATTTTAAACGACGAAACGTGGAACAGTTGTTTAAAAATAGTTAAAACGAAGATAAATTTTTCCAGAGTCTGAAAAACAGGCGATTTTTCGATTGCTTAACACCTGTTTTACTACATTCAACTCCAGCATCTTGAGAGTGTGAGCAGTAATTATTTCCCCATCCTTCACTAGGGCAACTTGTTATATTTTGTTCTTGCCCAGTACATCGGACGTAAGATAACAATACAGGTCCAGTGCCAGATGGAACTTGTTCCCCAGAAAGGGATCTCACTGCAACCGCATATCCAAGTTGACGACATGCCACCCAAGCATCTTTGAAATCCCATCCAAGATCACAGATTGTCCCCCATAGTCCAGCGTAGTATACTTCAACACGGCCTGTTCCATTTGCACTCAGTGGCCCTTTTAACCTCAATGTTTGCGATGGACTCCCAGAATCTAAAATAGAATGTCTACATGAATATTAATATGTCATAGCGATGCATTGAAGTAAAAATAGTAACAAGGAAAAATATACTTGAATGTATAAAATATACATTACTAGTGAGGTTAAAATGTCAAATCAAAAAGGCACCTAGTTTTACTGGAATGGAATTTTTATATGGTTGCGTAAAGGAATGGTGGAAAGAAAGCTATGCTATGCATCATATTTATGATGGTGGATTAAATCATCTAAAACTCTCAAACTTATTCGACTTACTCATTTTCAGGTTAATCATTTATCTGAAAATCTATCTTAAGGACAGTTAGCTAGGAAATATTCGCCATCATCCATTTTTATCTGGAGCTTTACCTGTTGTATTAATACATTGAACGCCGGCGTCTTCCAAATGAGAAATACAATCATAATTTCCCCAACCCTTATGATTGCAACTTTGTATAGTTTTTTCTGTTCCATTACACGAGACACCATCTAACCATGTAGGCCCAGGACCGTTAGGAACCTGGCTCCCAGGTAGAGATCTGGCCGCACCTCTGTAACCAAGTTGACGACATACAACATTAGCATCGTTTATATCCCATTCATTGTCGCAGATTGTTCCCCATTCTCCTTTGTAGAATACTTCAACACGACCAATTCCACTTGCACTCAGACGTCCTTGCAACCTCAGTGGCCCATCCTTTGCATGATTAGTAGCTGCAAATTAAATGAAGTTCAATATCATAGGCAAGAACAAATATTGAAAAAGAACTTGTTCTGGAAACCCTAAAGGACTGAACTCACGTATGCTTAATCGGATGACGTGACGAAAATGGTATGGTATATCATTTCGACTTTGTCGCCTTCCATTAACAGCTTTAAAATAGAGATGTATGACATCAAACGATACGTTAATCCTCGTTGTTGCTCATTCGTATTTCCTCGCCTAAGCAACCTATTCAACACTTCTTACAATCACTTTTGAGCGCTTCATTGGTGCAGATTCATAATATTATTGTTTAATATACGATCAATATTGATTGTTTAGCCGGATATATGGATCTATTACAACGGATCTTTGCAGGAAAGCGACAAACTCGAACTTTTCATATCCATTCTTATTGCATCATCTATTGAGCATAAAAGCTCAGTAGTGAAAGTATTGCACGATTAAGTTCTAATTTCTAAGGAAATAAGTTTAATTTAAGGAAGAAAAATAAAAGATAATGTAAAGAGATCTAAAGATTTTTTGATAAATATAGATATCTGTCCATAAGTGAATATGTCCAGAGCAAAATTATATATACAATTTGTGGAGTATTTGAACAAATTATGAATTTTGCTTTTTTCAAAATTTGTATTTAATCCTTGCAGCCTTGTTTTTGAAACTCTCTTAAAGTTTTTTGAACGAATGAGTCTGAGTTAACATGTCTTGAATATTTATTAACTTAAACAGCTCTTTATTCTTTTTACAAAATTTGCTTCTTGCATCAACTTTCAAAGAAATTTTAAGGAAATAACGCATTAAAAGAACCGGGTCAACCGGTTGCATATAAATTGTTAACGATAATAACTATATAGTTGGCTGAACAAGTTGAAGCTTTTTTACAACTGACCCCACTGACGATCGAGGTCTTGCAATGCAAAATTTTCATGTCTTTCCTGTCTAGTTCTACACTGCACTCCGGCATCTTGATAATGCGTGCAATCTACATTTCCAAAACCGTTACGAGAACACCATGCTAGATTTTGTTCCTCTCCAGTACAGGCGACCTCGTCTAGCCAGATACGCCCACTACCAGATGGAACCTCGCCGCCTTGGAATTTTTTAACGGCATCTGGAAAACCAAGTTGACGACACACAACCCTTGCATCATCCATATCCCAATCATCATCACAAACTGTCCCCCACTGTCCGTCGTAGAGCACTTCAACACGACCAATGCCATTCTCACTCAATGGTCCTTGTAACCGCACTGGTAGATACACTTCTGGCGACACTGACCAGTCTGCAAGAAATCGAAAGAATATTATTCTCACAATACTATCATCAGCTCGAGTCGTATGTAATATGCCATTCAGGTATGAGAACGAGAGCCAAAAGTATAAAATTACAAAAGGTAAAAAGAGAATTTTTTACACTTTTTTGGTCAGCTGAATTGAAAAAAGCGCTTTTTCCGTTTCGCTTTTCACATACAATATTTTGTTAAATTATGGATTTTCTTTGTAATCCCTTCTCTTTTTTGCAATTTTGGTGGTTTTCTGGAGTTTATCAGATGAAAGTATCGTCGGAAATGGAAGTTTTTCTTTGCTTTTGATTTCTGAACTGAAATTCACCGCTTTTACCCGAGGAATGCTTTCCTTCTACATCTTTTGTCTTATGATAGCTTCATAATAAATACTCCCCTGGAAGAGGTGTCAACTTACACTGCCACTGTGTTTAAATATTCCGACTCTTTTGAAAACACTTTTAATAAACCATAGGCTCTCTGTGTTGCATGCAATTTGCTAGTCAAAAAACTTCATTTGTATATCTCGAGTTCTTCAGGTTTCCTGGTTCATTTTATCAAGTCAGGAAGGAAGAAATTAGCGTCAGACTTACCTTCGTATTGCCACTCTGGGTAAGTTAAGAGAACTAGACCAACTAACACGCAAATAATAAAAATTGTCTTTGACATGTTGCTGAATGCTGAAGTTGCCATGAAACAACCTTCATGCAGCGGTAAATTCATAAAACGTACGATAGTAGCGGTATTTCTTTGGCTGTTCGCATTTCAACACTCGAAGTCCGAATACATATAATATATACATGATATAAACAACATGTAACAAGACGATTCGCTTTAATTCTGGAAAATATAAAGGTCACGAGTGTGCATTGAGGGAAATTCGACCCATTATAATTTATAATCCCTAATCTGTCAATGCCAGTTCCACAATAAAAATCTATAGCCTGATGAGAACCATGCATGTACGAGAGTTATTGTTCTGTTTTAATTTCACAGCAGTCGTATCAGACTTTCAGTTGACTATCACATAGTTTACCCGTGCATTTCGTTGCCTTTGGAGACGGGGAAACAACTTAACTAAAATTTCAAAACACGTGAATTTCGCCCAGTCTCTACAGAGAATCGACCTCTTCCGCGTATCTTTTTTGCAATCCTACTATTTGGCGCCAAAAAGCAAAATGAGTACTAGTGTAAAATAAAAATTCCAGTCCCGTTTACAGTATAGTCAATTCATTGGCACGGCACGACTAAAATTGGTACCAGTACCAATTTTTAGTGTTCAAGCTATCAATACAAAGCCTGGATTGTAGGGGGGGGGGGGCTCATGCATGAAACCAGGCATTTTAGCCGCCCCGTGTCAGTAATTTTAGTGTAGTTTAAACGGGGCTTCTGTTATCACTGATTAATGTGAAAGTCCTTTCCTAATGAATCAGTAGACGAAAAAAGGGGAAGTTGAGGTCAATCACTGAAAATCAAAATATTTTTTCTCGAGTGGAAACATCGTCATGGAATTGGTACGGCGTGAGGCGTGATCTCCCACTCAACGACAGAATAAGGATTTTATGGAAGAATTATTTTAAATCTGTCGTTACATTCCAGAGCAAGAAGGCTAAGTAAAATCCACAGCCTACTGGCCACTAAGACTATAGGCATGAGTTGCTTTTCCCGGTCGGTATAGCTAATGTATTATTATCAACATGCAAACGTTACAAATTTTTAAAATTACAAATAATTCCTAAAACTAAGTTAATAGCCCGTTTATATGTCTCCAGGAAACAAAGTGACCCGAATGAAATGTTATTATCATTTAAAATTCTAAAGTATATTTCAAATTTTATAATCAATATTGTGTTGTGCATTGGTTCGCGGAGTTGTTGACGTTCTCGCGATTCTACGATCAATCCAGGATTATGGTGCTAGACGAAAAAAGAGTGATGATTATACAGTTAGTGAATTCTAAATTTTGCAATGGCACTTGAGCACTAAAGCCTGGCAGGAGAAGTAATTCGGTACGACTATTTTCGACCAATGATCTCTAGCAGGTAGTGTAAACTTGGTCATATTTGATGTCATGATGCAGGATGGTAATATTAATGTTGTTTCAATACCCATAAACAACTCTGCACTTCCCATGCACTTCTGCTGAAGTAAGCAACCTCGATCACCTTTACTCAGGGGTGTGACGATCATCCTTAAATAATAGTCTGCGAGGTCGAAATCTTTGCTTGGAAGAACACAATTAAGTGCTTACTTGGGTTGACTTAGTAACGTCAGCAGGATTTCCATTACTTACATGAATATGGCTGTCATCATAAGAGATAGCAATGACAAAAAAGCGAAACGAAGAACTTTTTGAAAAGAATGCACAATATATCTTATTAACACAGATCCTTCCCTTCCTTGTTGTTGTCAATTACAAGGAATTTCCTTGCATTGTGGCAACCCTGCATGAACTTAAGAAAAACGGCTAACTACTAGTAAGTATCGTACCTTGGATGTGGAGAACGGTCAAAGAAATCTTTTCCTTGATAGTCGGCTTTACATAAACAACAGACTGGCCGTTGATGATAACCGTTTGATTCGTACCAGCATCGACCGCACTAACTGCTAACGATTTCGAAGTCTTCAATTTTTCACTCTTGACCACTGTTTTACTCGGTTCAAGTTCGAAATATTCTTGTTTACCGGATATATCTGTGGTTACGAGTACTTTACTATGATACTTGTTTAACAGTAAAACTGCAACGTAGAAATCGACTACAGAAAAAAAGGAAATTTCGATGAGTCGAAGTTTTCTTGCATTCCCTTCTGTAAATCATGTTGTAATTTCTGGTAATCATCAGAATTTGCTGAAGTTTACCTTTTTAATTTGATGCATTAAACCACTATGCAAACGATTAGTACGAGCAATATTTTTCATAACAAAATAATTATGTCCAGTTCAGCAAGTTCTCGAGCATTCAAATGAACTTTCTGTTTATAAAACATCATTCAGCTGATTGAAGTTTATATTTTTGTTTGATCATCAAACGTAATTTTAGCAAAACATATGACTTGTAGCCTAACCTGATGTATTGCATTCTATCCCAGCGACATCAAAATGCACACAATTACTATTTCCCCATCCGGAATGAGCACAACCATTTATGTCTTGTTCGCTTCCGGTACAAAAGACCTTCTCCAACCATACACGACTAGAACCAGAAGGTACAATGTACCAGGGAAGAACTCTAACAGCATCTGGATAACCAAGTTGACGACAAGCTACCCTTGCTTCTTCTATGTCCCATGCATGACTACAAATTTTTCCCCATTGTCCATCGTGGAGTACTTCAACTCGACCTGTTCCATTGGCACTTTGTGGTCCCTGTAACCTGAGGGACCCAGGTCTACCTGGATCAACTGCAATTAAATTGTTGTACTTGATTTTATTTGAGCTAATCCCGACCAAAAAACAGCATTGAAGTGCGCAAAATCAGTACAACTATCTATGACAGTTCAAATACCATACCTGAAATACAATATACTACAACGTCGTAATCATGTCTGCAAAATCTAGTTCCGCTTCCCCAATCAGCATGAGAACAGTTGGTCAAGTATTGCTCGGTTCCATTACAAGCAACATCACTTAACCAAATGGGGCCAGAACCAACAGGAGCCCTTCTTTCTCCACGATGATTGATAGCATCCGAATAACCAAGTTGACGACATACAACCCTAGCGTCTCTTAGATCCCATCCATAATTACAGATTGTTCCCCATCGTCCAGCGTAAAATACCTCAACACGACCTGTTCCATATGCACTTAATGGCCCCTGTAACCTGACTGGAACCGGTTTATCTGAAATAACTGAAAAGAACATTTTATAGTAAAATACCTGCTACAGTTCTATGTTTTCTCAAAATGAATCCATGCAGGAAGGCCGAAATGGGGAAATCATTCAGGACAAAGTACGCTATTTTTCAAGTTGACAACTGTTCCCGGAAAAGTTTTATTCCCTCGTGTGTACGGCAAGCAATTGACAAGTTTTCTTTCACAAAGAGCTACGTTTAATAGCTTATAGCTTGGCTTCGAATGGCAGTTTCGTAAACCTGGAATGTGGTTTGTGTGCACTCGAGTATTGTTTCGGGGCATTTGAGCAGGGCATTAATGATGGGATGGCTTTGAACTTTTGGTTTACAATGCCAATGGTACAGCACGGGAGAAAAGAGCAAAAGAATATCCCATATTTCCATTATGCAAAAGCTCTTGCCTCTTGAAATTTTGTACGCGAACCAATAATAAATGGACAAAAAATTAACAACCTCTACTAATCATTAATATATAAACTAAACATAGAGGCAACAGGAATCTTTGTTGCCCACAACTCGTAAGACTTGATTGGCATTAAAAATAATGGCTGTACCAAAAATATATAACAATGTACACTTCAAAACCTTTCTTTTCGGTAACTTTACCTGTTTTACTACATTCGACTCCAACATCGTCAGAATTCCCGCAAAAAGTTCTTCCCCATCCGAAATGAGGACAGCTTGTTATATTTTGTTCGTCTCCAGTACAAGTGGCTGAAGATAACCAAATGCGTCCAGAACCTCGTGGAACCTGACTCTTTAGAAGAGCTTGGACTGCATCAGGATATCCCAGCTGACGGCAGACAACCCTGGCATTTTTTATACCCCACTGGCCATATTCACATATTCTTCCCCATTCTCTGTTGTACAGTATTTCAACACGACCTGTTCCATTCGCACTCAATGGCCCTTGTAACCTTACTGGCCAAGTAGTCGCTGTAAGAACTAAAAAGAAGATATTTGGGTAAACCAGCTCAGTTCTAACGCTTCAAGCCTGTATCTTTTGCTGTGCCTACACTGTTCGCTCAAAATCAAGCAAACAGCAAATCAGATTTAGAAAATCAACTGGTGCAATATTACATTTTACAATTTATAAACTAACAAACTTTATATCTCCTGGGATTAGGTAAGATCGAATATATGCTTAAAAAATACATTTCAAATACATTTATGTCGCTCATGAAAAGTGATATTCCGATTGAAGTAGCGAAATGATTTAAGGACTGTTGTTGCTTTACCTCTATTGCTACATTCCAGTCCAACGTCAGTGTAGCTCCGGCAATCATGATTCCCCCATCCCCCATGGGAACAACTGGATATATTTTTTCTTCCCCAGAACAAGTGATATTGTTTAACCATATGGGACCATAACCACGAGGAACCTGTGATCCTTGAAGAGCAGTAACAGCATCTTGATAACCAAGTTGACGACATGCAACCCTGGCATCATTAATATCCCATCCTTCATCACAAATTTTCCCCCATTGCCTATTATAAAGTACTTCAACACGACCGGTTCCATTCGCACTCGATGGTCCTTGTAGTCGGAGTGACCCAGGCCGACCTGAAGCAGCTAAATAAATATGTGAATGTATGAGGCAATACGTTACCAATATGTGAGTGTATGAGGTCATTCGCGGACATTCGCAGTAGGATATTCCTGATTTGTTTGGAAAAATTCCAAACCACAAAGTTTACTGTGCATGAAAAATGAAATATTAAACTACCTGAAATACATTGTACTCCAGCGTCGTCGTAATGTGTACAGTAAACATCCCCTTTTCCCCAATCGGAGTAAGAACAATTAGCCATGCTTTCTTCTCGTCCTGTGCATTTAACACCAAATTGCCAAATATGACCAGTGCCTGAAGGTGTTTGGGAGCCTGCAAGAGCTCTTGCAACGTTAAGATAACCAAGTTGACGGCATACAACTCGAGCCTCGTTTATGTCCCAATCAGCATCACAGAATGTTCCCCATTGTCCATTGTAAAGCACTTCTACACGACCTTTCCCAATGGCACTCGATGGTCCTTGTAGCCTCAGTGTTACAGGCTTATTTTCTAGAACTGAAAAAAATATCTGATTTTACGAGATTGGTGATAGCATAGACATTATTAACCAATTCTCTGTCACTGACGAAACGTTAATCTTACCTCTTGTACTACATTCTACCCCAACGTCTTCACGATGTGTGCAAAAATGGATTCCCCAGCCGTTGTGAGAACAAAGTGAAACATTTTGTTCGGTCCCATTGCAAGTTACATAGGATAACCAAATAGGTCCATCGCCCGATTGAACTTGCTTATAAAGAAGAGATCTGACCGCATCTGGATAACCAAGTTGACGACATGCAACTTTCGCATTTTTCATGCCCCATCCATCACCGCAGATGGTCCCCCATTGTCCATTGTGGAGAATCTCAACACGACCTTTTCCATTTGCACTCGATGGTCCTCGCAACCTTAATGTTCTAGGTTTATTTTCTTCAATATAAAAGAAAGTATGTGATGATATAAAGTAAAAGTGACAACAAATTCCTATGAGAAGCAATCAGGGGCGTAACTAGAACGATAATTGGGGGGTGAATATTCATATATTCAGTTCTGCCCGACGGATTTCTATTGTAAGCTATTGCACGTACAAAAGAAATTCGTCGAGAAGCACTGAATATATGAATATTCACCCCCCCCCCAAATCTCGTTTCAGTTACGCCACTGGAAGCAATCACCTGTCTCACAGATGATTTCGGAACGATCATTTCAACTCGAGCTCATCATAGTCACCTAGACATGGACGATATATTTGTATAATATTTGTATTCTGGTTAAATAATTGCGATGATGAGGTAATTCGTGTTATCTGTACGTGTAAACGTGTAACATATTGTTTGGGTAAACGTAGGAATCAAGGATATGTGATTTAAATTTTTTAGTTTGTTGAAGATTTACACTTCCTACAAACTTTGTTACAGAATTTGTTAACGTTCCTGACTTTTAAAGGCATTAACAAGCAGTAACATCTGCTATCCGCCATTTTGTTTTTTTATGAAATCTAACTTTCGCGACGTACGTGAGAAGCAGAACTGACGTTTCAGAGTAACAACTACAAGTTGCTGCATATCTTTAAAAACAGCGACACTTTTTTGTCAAAAGTAATGTATGGGAATCAGATTTTACATTATTCATCTTGTTGTTCATTCAAATTCCTTAATTCAGGAACAATTCAGTTCAATTTAATCAAAAAAGTTATGGATGTTATCTACAAATGTCTCATGGAACAACTTGCTTTACTTTACCTGCTGTTTTGCATTCAACTCCGACATCCTCGGAATGACTGCAATCATGAACTCCCCATCCGGCATGGGAACATCTGGTTATATCAGTTTCTTTCCTCTTGCAGTAGAGGCCATCTAACCATATAGGTCCGGAACCAGGAGGAACCTGAATGAGTGTTCTCAGAGCATCCGGATAACCAAGTTGACGACATACAATCGCAGCATCTCTCGAATCCCATTCATCACGACAAATTGTCCCCCATTGTCCTTGGAACAACACTTCAACACGACCTTTTCCAAGTCTACTTAAAGGACCTCGTAACCTGATTTTAACAGGACCTATTTCTGAATATTGTAACGTTATCATTTAATTAGTCTGAAGATGAAAGCAAAATTCCAAATGTGCTGCACACATTGAAGTAATGACTTTATTCACCAATTAGTTTGCTATTTGTTATAGTTTACTTTGTTTGAAAGAGAATTAATATGGGCACTGAGATAAGAGCTTTATTAGATCAAGACAACGGGGAATCGCCAAAATAATCAAACTTGGAATAGTTGTATTAAAATAGTTTTGAATTAGCTTTCATTCTTATATTTTCATTCCTATTTCATTCTTATTACTTATCAACTAAAAATGTATGGTAAATTACCTGTTGTACTACATTCCACTCCAGCGTCTTCAGAATGTGAGCAAGCATTATTTCCCCAAGCATTATTAGAACAACTTGTTATATTCGGTTCTTGGCCAATACAGTTTACGTAAGATAACCAAATAGGTCCAGACCCAAATGGAACCTCTCCCCCACGAAGAGACTTTATTGCATCAGGATAACCAAGCTGACGACATGCAACCCTGGCGTCATTTATATCCCATCCATCATCGCAGATTGTTCCCCATTGTCCATTGTAGAGCACTTCAACGCGACCTGTTCCATTTGCACTCAACGGGCCTCGAAGTCTCACGGAAACTGGCCTTCCTGCAATAACTTAAATGGACATTCTTATATAAATGATGAGTACTTTTCAGCGCGCTAAACCTCTGAAATATTTGAAAGGCATGCAAACATGAAAAGCTTTGGTACCGGGAAATCAATTCTTAATTCGAACCATTATAATAATCATAAAGATTCCTCAGAGTTTCATAGACCCTCTACCAGGAAGCATCCCCAAAAAAATTCAATATTGAATTCAAGTAGTGCCGAAACTAGACGCGAAAAATAGGGAGTGTATATTCTGAATTATCACGGGAAACAAAACAATTAAACAAACTCTGCAGCAGAAAATCAACTGCAAAAGAGCCATTTAATATGGGATGATTAGTTTTTCGGTTGCCAAATTACCTTCCGTATTACATTCTACTCCAGCGTCTTCACTATGTGAGCAAATATTATTTCCATATCCATCATGGTAACAGCTTGTTATACTTTGTTCATTGCCAGTACAGGAGACTTGAGTCAACCAAATATTCCCAGTTCCTGAAGGAACATAACCCCCACCAAGAGATCTTACTGCATCAGGATAACCAAGTTGACGACATGCAACCCTGGCATCTTTGATATCCCAACCATCTTGACAGATTGTTCCCCACTTGCCATTGTAGAATATTTCAACACGACCTGTTCCATTTGCGCTCAATGGTCCTTGTAACCTCAGTATTTGCGATAGATTACCAGTAACGTCAATAACTATAATAGCAATAGACATGTCATAGCCATGTCAAGTGTGAGGAAGGTGACGAACCTATCCCGAATCCACCTTTAAAACTTTTATGCTCTCTAAATCTTTACCATTTTTCTGGACCTACCTGTTCTGCTACATTCTACTCCAGCGTCTTCGTTATGTGAGCAATCACTAATTCCCCATCCACTATGAGAACAACTTGATATGTTTTGTTCTGTTCCGGTACACGAAACTTCATCTAAAAATATACGACCAGAGCCTGGTCGGATCTGGCCACCTCGAAGAGGTCTGTGAGCATCTGGAAAACCGAGTTGACGACATGCAACCTTGGCATCTCTCATATCCCAATTATCATCACAGATTGTCCCCCATTGTCCATTGTAGAGTACTTCAACACGGCCGGTGCCATTCGCACTTGATGGTCCTTGTAACCTCAGTGACCCAGGCCGACCTACATAAACTGGAAATATCTAAATATATTATGTTTCTGCATTTATATCATATTAGTAAGGAGGTCTTTGCAAGAGCTTTGAACAACAAAACAGTGTTCCTGAAACTTATAAGTAAATCAAGATGAAAGTTTTAGAATCATTAGGGAATTGACCAGCAAAATCGCAATTATTTTTTTAGTAAGGCGAAAAAATGAAAACTTTATTGTGAAAATGGATCACTGATAGTGATTTTGTAAATAGAACTGGCATTAACAATTTCACGTTCGCAAAGAGTGAAAAAAAATTGCCTAAAACTTTAGAAACACAAAATGGTGCTTAAGACTTTATAAATATGGTGAACTTTTCCATATCAAGTAAAGTAATACAGTATTTAATTAAATGACTGTAGAAAGCTTGCAGAAAAGGAACAGAAATTCTCGCAGAGATGTTTTAGTAGGTACCTGGACTAAATCTCTACCTGTGGAATAACCGCTTGTGTGCATAGTATCCATTTTTCTTCCGTTGCATTCTCAAATTCATCTGGGAAGCATTTTGGAAAACACTATTTCCCTGACAGGCTTACATTGCTTATAATATTTACCGTCGTTTTACCTGTGGTTTGACACTCCACGCCAAAGTTTTCGTATCCTTCGCAATTATAATCTCCCCATCCGCTATGATCACAGCCTGTTATATTTTGTTCTTCTCCTGTGCAGTGGAGGTTAGATAACCATATAGGTCCATCACCGGAAGGAACCTCGTCCCTTGAAAGAGTTCTGATGACACCGGAATATCCAAGTTGACGACAAACAACCTTAGAATTGCCTATTTGCCACCCACGATTACAAACCGCCCCCCATTGTCCATTGTAGAGTACTTCAACACGACCTATACCCGTTGCACTCAATGGTCCTTGTAATCTCAATGATCCCGGCTCGCCGGCAACACCTGGAAAAAAAGTATGTATAAGTGTGTCATTTTTAAGAGATAGAAAACATTTTCCATGCTTCCAAACAGTCAGTGTAGAAAAACGCGTGGGAGTTTGGGAGAACGGAAAATAATCAGTGGAAAAACGAGCCCGTAAGGCCATGTTATTTCGAGCTCCCAAACTCCCACAAAAAAAGTGTTTTCTATTTCGTTTATAATATAACTCAAGAAAAATGATTGTGTACAAACATTATAATTCGATTCAGTTACAATTTCTCATCACATTACTTCGTTTGTCAATTTCGGCGGGAAAATTTCTGTGTTTCTATATGAGCTCAAGGCGAAGTTAATATAGGCTTATAATCACCAAGCCTGAGGCGACTAATTGTTTTAGTATAAATTTTCGAGGTGAAAAACAACAACAAAAAGCTAAATAGTCACCGGCCGGTGACTATATATCACTTCAGAGACAGTGAATTTTGACCAATCAAAATACAGGAAAATCAATAGTCACCTATAAATTTATACGATGGAAATACGCTTCTCAAAGCATATCATGTAACAGACTACATTCCATACGTCAGAAGTGAATTGGATCCGACAAACTTGGATCGTGTGAACAAACCTTTATACAACGTGTACTCTTAAAAAAATGCGTACGTTAGCAAAAAATTGCTTCTCATTAGCAAAAGATGAAGATTTTCAGCTTTTCAAAAATTCGAAATTTTCCTATATATTTTCATTTTAAGTCGCCGTTACTTTCTGTGTCTTTCTGGGTATGAGTTTTTCTATCGCAATTAAATACCTGTTGTACCGCATTCTACTCCAGCGTCGTTTGAATGTGGGCAGTCATTATTTGCCCATCCATTGTGAGGACAACTTCTTATATTCTGTTCTTGGCCAGTGCAACGGACGTTAGATAACATAACAGGTCCAGTGCCAGGAGGAACCTCTCCCCAGGAATCGATCTGACTGCAAACGCATACCCAAGTTGACGACATGCAACAATAGCATCTTTGAAATCCCATCCACCGTCACAGATTGTTCCCCATTGACCCCTGTAGAAGACTTCAACGCGACCTGTTCCATTTGCACTCAATGGACCTTGTAACCGCAATGCTTGCGATTGATTCCAAGTATCTGAGATTGAACACAGGAATTTATATGGTATGCGTTGAGGTGCAAGGAAGAAAAAAATAGTTATCTAGATTCATAATTCATAGCAGGGAAGTAACAATGTTCTGGGTGTATTTTTGTGGTAATACGATACACATTCAGTTTGGTGTCGAGTTAACACGTCGAATCATGCTGAAAAAATCATGCTGGTGATGCAAATTTAATCACGGGGTGTCTTGCTATGACGCATTATTCGTTATTTTAAATTTAGAATCGCATTACTCTTATCTTGAACTTTACCAGTTGTAGTGCATTCAACGCCGGCGTCTTCAGGATGACTGCAATCATGTTTTCCCCATCTTCTGTGAGAACAACTTGTTAGATTTTGTTCTGTTCCTTTACACGAGACGTCATCTAGCAATATGGGTCCAACACCGTCAGGAACGTCCAACCCTTCGATAGATCTGACCGCACCTGGGTAACCGAGCTGACGACATGCAACATTAGCATCATTGATATCCCATTCATCATCACATATCGTTCCCCACCGCCCTGCGTAGAGTATTTCAACACGGCCAATGCCACTTGCACTTAAATCACCTTGTAACCTTAGCGATCCATCCTTTGAAGAATAATCTTAAAGAATAATGATTAGCTACAACAAGAAGCTCAATTTTCATTGATAAATATTCACGCAGCCTTTATCAAGAGGAAAATGAATAAGGTTCATGTGAAACCTAGGCTTTTACTAGGTTCGTGTGAAATCTGGTCTATTACTGAAAGCTAGGTTCTATATAAGCTACAGAAGCTATGGCATGTAACAGAAAAAGGGTTTAAAAATACAATTTTTTCCTGAATCTGAAAGGAGGTGTTTTGTTTTCGTGATAATGTTTCAACCGGTGATAAACAGGAAAACTCTTAGGATATTGTTTTTCCTAGGAATTTAGGGTACAAAAAAGGCAAAATCATTTTTATTCTTATTTGCATTTCATGCCACGCTCAACTTCAAAACGTCAAATTGACACTGCAAAAATCTCTTGGATTACCTGTATTACTACATTCTACTCCGGCGTCTTCAGAATGCGTGCAATCTTCATTTCCCAAACCGTTGTGGTAACACATTGCTATGTTTTTTTCTTCTCCAGTACAGGCGACATTATCTAACCAAGTAGGCCCTGTACCAGATGGAACATCACCTGCTACATATCTACTGAGGGCATATGAAAATCCAAGTTGACGACAGACAACTTTAGCATCATCCATATCCCAGTCATCATCACAAACTGTCCCCCACTGTCCGTCGTGGAACACTTCTACACGACCAGTACCATTCGCACTTAATGGCCCTTGTAACCGTACTGGTAGATTCGGTTCTGAAAAAATTGGAAAGAATACGTAAATTCATATTACAGTTGCGAGTGGTTTGTTTGAAAAGTACGTTAGTGATTTTTGGTATCATGTTGAAAACAATCAAAACCAAGAGCGCATGATGAACTAGTCTCATGCCATTTAATGATTTGAATGCCGTCGACAAACGGCTATATTTCAAGAAAACGATATTTGCTCGTGTATCTATACAAATAGCCTCTCAGGGTCTTCCAATCTATTAGAAGGACTTTTCTTCATTCTTTAAGAACTTATAAACTGATACTTGTAGAGTGATCTTCCAAATTTTAAAGTATTTCTTATAATATACACAAAAGCTTTAGAGAAAATCGTATTGAAACCATGAAGGGCATGTCTTTAAGAGTACGAGCTGTTTTCGCAAATATTATCTCTCTTTCTTTCCTTCTACGTTTACTTTTCACATCTGGAATGCGTATGCTTTTTCAATAAAATTGTAGATATATAGCAATACTCCTTTACCTTCTGTCGTGCATTCAACTCCAGCGTCTTGGGTATGCTCGCAGCTGTGCTTTTTCCACCCAGAATGAGTACAACTGGTTATATTTTTTCGTTTCCAGAACAATCGACATTAGCTAACCATATTTTGTCCGGAACCAGAGCGAACATCCCTCCCTTGAAGAGCATTAAAAGCATGCGAATAGCCAAGTTGACGACACGCAACCTTAGCATCTCGTAAATCCCATCCAGCGTCACAAATTGTTCCCCACTGTCCATTGTAAAGTACTTCAACACGACCTGTTCCATTCTCACTCAACGGTCCTTGTAACCTCAGTGGTACAGGTTTACCTTCAAGAACTGAAAGAACACCGGAACATATTAGGCCAGCAATCCTTGTTAAAGTAGGATTGCATTTACCATGTTCAAAGTTTGTATAGTTACCATCTTAACGTATACCATGTTAACCAAAGTTTAACACTGGCGAAGTTTAACACCGAAGTTTACCACTGGAAGTTAACTGAAGTTTAACACACCGAAGTTAACCGAAGTTTAACACCGAAGTTTAACACTGGAAGGTTAACTGAAGTTTAATGTTTCCTGTGAGTGTGTGCACTTCCTCATTGAAAAATTGGGCATTATTTTAGAGCTTTCTTAGTACTAATTCAAGCCTAAGTTTGTTTGTGTTGTATACTATTACATATATATACTGCAAACTCTAATTACGGAACTTTTTAGACTTCCCCCCCCGAAATAGCGTGAAATGAAAACAAACATACTTGCAGACCCCGGGATTTACACATTTCACTGGAAAATTCTTGAACTCGGGAAACTTGAATCTTCCTTTGGTGCGCAGATGCCAGCCTCGCCTTGCGGCAAGCATGTTTTTATCAAGTCGGACACAGTCTGATTTAAGCATTTGCAAGTCACTCAAAATGTCAAGAAATACAACTTCTATAGATAGATGTTTTTTACTACAATTTAGTACGATTGTACCTGTTGTACTACATTCTACTCCAGCGTCTTCAGAGTGTGAGCAACCAGTATTTCCCCAACCAGTATAGGAGCATCTTGTTAGATTTTGTTCTCTACCAGTACAATTGACGTGAGATAACCAAATATTTCCATGAAATCCTGGAGGCACCTGACCCGCACCAAGAGATCTCACTGCGTCTGGATAACCAAGTTGACGACATACAACTCTGGCATCTTTGATATCCCATCCATCATCACAGATTGTTCCCCATAGTCGATTATGAAATACTTCAACACGACCTGTTCCATTTGCACTTAATGGGCCTTTTAGCCTTAGTGTTTGCGATATATTATCAGCATCAGCTGTGTGGAAGAAAGTCTAAATTTATATGCTGTAGAGTCTGCACCCATCAAAGTGTGAGTAAGTGACAAAATTGTGATATCCATGCGTAGAGGCAGTCATGCATATATAACCAAACTCCGAAACTCTTTGCTATTAATAAGAGCAAAGCATGTGAATATTGCGAATATGCTTGCGTCGTTAGGAGAAGATAAATTTTAGTTTAAAACTTCCTAGGTTTCGCCATATGTTTCAATGCTCGTGAAAAAGCCCCCGAGGGAGAAAATCGAGAAGTGCGATTGTTTTTTCTGTTTCATATAATTGCATGACAACATTTCATGAGAAGTTATATATACGAAGAGGCTTCCACGTTGCTATCTGCAACATTATTTTTGCTTCTTGCATACCTAATTACAATTATATTTCATTAAAGCTTTACCTTCTATGAGACATTCCACACCAGCGTCTTCGGAATGAGTGCAATCATGATTTCCCCATCCTCGATGAGAACAACTTGCTAAATTTTGTTCTGTCCCATTACACGAGACATCATCTAAAAGTATGGGTCCAGTACCAGATGAAACCTGACCGCCTTGGAGATATCTGAAAGCACTTGAATATCCAAGTTGGCGACATACCACCTTGGCGGCATTCATATCCCATGCATCATCGCAGATTGTCCCCCATTGTCCATTGTAGAATACCTCTACACGACCTATTCCATATACATCCAGAGGACCTTGTAATCTCACTTTAACAGGCTCAGTAACAACTTGAAGGAATGGAATAAGATGATTAGATTAGATCTATTATCAGGAAAAGTTCAGCAATCAATAGGTTATGGATTTTGATATTTTAAAGGAATGAGACAACGAACTGGTGAAATACTGGGGAAAGCTAAAGCAAGAAAGAACTTTTACAGTTTCATTTCAACAAATAAGTTATTAAATATACAAGATCTTTCGATGGGCAAGATTACCTGTCTTACTACATTCTACCCCGGCGTCTTCAGAGTGTGAACAGGCATTATTGCCCCAACCATTATGAGCACAACTTGTTATTTTCTCTTCTTGGCCCTTACAAGCAACGAGAGATAACATAACAGGTCCAGTACCAGGTAGAACCTCTCTCCCAGATATGGATCTGATTGCAGCCGCATACCCAAGTTGACGACATGCAACAACAGCATCTTCGAAATCCCACCCATTGTCACAGACTGTGCCCCATTGCCCTCTGTAGAACACTTCAACACGACCTGTTCCGTTTGCACTTAGTGGTCCTTGTAACCTCAGTGCTTCAGATTGATTCCAAGTACCTGGGAAGGAAAACTTGATTTTTTACGGTGTACACTGAAGTGCCGGGACGAAAATAATTTGTAATAAATATGGATTCATGCTAAATAAATAGCAGGGAATGAACAATGTTATTTATTTTTGTAGCGAGATGAAATTAATCAGTCAATATTCGTTTAGAAATGATTTGAACATAAGTGACTTTACCACAATTAACTTAACAAGGTATGCTCCCGAATACAATTATTAGTAGGGCGTAAATGTTGCATTGGGCTAAATAAAGTTGGACATTTTCTGAGTGACCGCTTTTTAACGGTACGGTTGCATAAAAAAGGGTGTATAGTCGAACTATGTATCATTAAAAATTATAATATAACATTGATAGTACGCGCGTGTTGATTGGTCAATAAGCGTGTTTCTATCACTGTATAGAAACACGGGACTTTTCCCTCCAAACTTGACATCGAATGAAGCGATGTAATGAGAATTTGTAATTAAATCGAATTATAATATTTGTACAAAATCTTTTTATTAAGTTATATTATAAAAGAAATAGAATATATGTTCTCCTGTGTTACTTTACTTGGCAAGAAAGTTGACCTGACCTTTCTATAAAGTTTCATCTCCAGCGTTACCTGTACTCCTGCATATTACTCCGGCGTCTTCAGAATGCGTGCAATCTTCATTTCCATAACCGTTGTGGAAACACATTGCTATATTTCCTTCTTCTCCAGTACAGGCAACCTCATCCAACCAAATACGCCCAGAACCAGGTGGAACACCGCCCGCTGGGAGTTCACTCACGGCATCTGAAAAACCAAGTTGACGACAAACAACCCTTGCATCATCAAATCCCCAGCGATCATCACAGATTGTGCCCCACTCTCCGTCATGAAGCACTTCAACACGACCAATACCAGTAGCATTTAGTGGCCCTTGCAACCTAATTGGCAGATTCGGCTCTGCAAAAAATTGAAGAACCATCATGACCATCGATAAGCGGTTTATGCAGTTATATAAAATCAGTTATGTATATTAAGGAATTTTTTAATGACGTGTGCAATTACACGCGCGGGTCCAAAACACGCATCACATGAAACAAACACGCGTCGTGTATGTTGTTCTGATTATTCTGATTCTGATAGCAGCATTTATGTTTGTTTCTCGCTGGTCTTTGGCAGTGCGTTCAAAAATAAAACTAGACAAATATCGCGAGGTTATTAATGTTTCCACGCGCAAGAGCGCAACTAAATATACTGTAACGTGCCACCTTAATTAGCCTGGAAAATGTGGAATTTTTCAGATCTGTTAAAAACGAAATTTTTCCCTGTTCACTACAACTCTACCTGTTCTTGTACACATTACTCCAGCGTCTCTGTTATGGTCACACTCGTGATAGCCCCATCCATAATGAAAGCAACTTGTTATATTTTGTTCGTCTCCATTGCAAGCGACATTAGTTAGCCAAATTCGTCCAGAGCCAGAAGGTACCTCGCCACCTCGAAGAATGTTAAAAGCATATGGATACCCAAGTTGACGACACGCAACTTTCGCGTCTCTTAAATCCCAGCCATGATCACAAATTGTTCCCCACTGTCCATTATAGAGTACTTCCACCCGTCCTGTTCCAGTTGCACTCAAAGGTCCTTTTAACCTCAATGACAAAGGTTTATCTGCAAGAACTAAAAAGCGTTTTGGAATATAATATTATCTGGTCAGATGCTAGTTAGGCTGAGAGGATTACACAATTAGAAACTCAATTGAACAGCCAGTAAGATATGTAACTCAGTAATCAAAAACGGAACATTAACTCATGTAAGCAAACACAACTGGTAGGATTGCTATTCAGCCTGAGAATTCACTGTTGTGAATCGTGATGAAATTGTTTCGGAAATTTTGGTATGAATTTAATCATTTTTGTATTTGTATTGTAGCAGAAAGGTACACAGTGCTTGAAAACTGCACGAAATTCTTGCTGAACAGAGTATTATCACTAGAAAGAATGTATGGTTAGATACAAATTCCCTTGATTGCATGGTAACTAGGAATTGATTGCATCATACAAGGTTTAAGTCCAAAAAACGATCTTGGAACCAGTATGGACAAAAATGTTGAAGATATTTTTTGGGCAAAGCGTGAGCACTTTCTGTTTGATGCTGCATTACCTGTTCTACTACATTCTACTCCAGCGTCCCTGTAATAAGGGCAAGCATTATTTCCCCAACCATCATGAGGACAACTGGTTAAATTTTGTTCTTGGCCAGTACAAGCGACGTTAGATAGCCAAATGGGTCCTAAACGCCTCGAAGGAATGTCTTGCCCTCCTACAATATGTCTTACGGCATCCGGATAACCAAGCTGACGACATACCACCCTAGCATCTTCGATTCCCCATCCAGCATCACAGATTGTCCCCCATAGTCCATGGTATAATACTTCCACACGGCCTGTTCCATTTGCGCTCAATGGCCCTTGCAATCTGAGTGTTTGCGATAGATTACCTGTAACTTCAAAAGCTGGAATGAAAAAATAACTGACTTATAATTATGACCGGAGACGTTTTGCTCAGGCTGCTTCTATAACTACCTATACAACTTTTAATGTACCATCACCATGAAGTATTTTTTTAGCATTACCTTTCCTCATGCATTGTACACCAGCGTCTTCGGAATGGCTGCAATCATGATTTTTCCATCCTTGGTGAGAACAATGTGCAAGACTTTCTTCTGTTCCAGTGCACGAGACGCTATCTAACAATATACGTCCAGAACCAGATTGAACCCGGGTGCCTTGAAGAGCATTGAGAGCACCTGGATAACCAAGTTCGCGACATACAACTTTCGCGTCATTTATATCCCAGTCATCATCACAGATTGTCCCCCATTGTCCATTATATAATACCTCCACGCGACCAATACCACTCTCAATCAATGGGCCTTGTAACCTTATCTTAAAAGCTAGAAGGAATTGGATGATCAGTCTATTACTAAGAGAATTGATAGCATTCTTCGTGAACGAGAAACGAAATAATTGTATCTCATTTGTAACTCTAAAAGAATTGTCTGAGGGGAAATGAAAAGGCATGGAAACTTCATAAGTTCCGGACGATGAAACAACTGGCGCTGGAATATATGAGGATATCTGCTTGTTTATCAGAAAATTGTAAATAACTCATTTATTGGCTTATGAACAACTCGCATCAATGCCAAACTAAATGAATTTCATCTTCTGGAAAAGAGAATTTGTGCGCGCATCGTATGTAGGCAATAAATTCGTTTCAAACGAAAATTTTGAATTCCTAAAATACCTGGGTCCGGGTAAATCGCTTCAAAATCGCCCTCTGTTAGGAATAACTTAAAATCCTAGTATTCCTAAATTGAGAATCCTCTTTAATAATTGTTGGTTCCAAGGCTATAATTTTATTGCTTTTAAAGCATTTTTAGAACGGTTGAAAAAATCACTATCCGGTGAATAACGCTATCCAGCATTCGTATACAACCGGCCCCAGGATGTTATCTGTTTTGCCTGCTCTAAACCGTTTCTGGAATACAATTTGAAATTGGAAGAAGACGCAATAAGCCTCCCTACAATTGATTCCAGAATGATTTTTCCATTCAAGAGCTTTTTTTTCTCACTTTACCTGTTCTTCTACATTCTACTCCAGCGTCCTCAGAATGTGAGCAATCGTTTACCCCAAAACCATTATGATGACACATTGCTATACTCTCCTCTTTCCCAGTGCAAGCGACGTTATCTAACCAAATACGCCCCGAACCAGATGGAACCTGCTCCCCATCAAGTTTTGCAATGGCATCCGGATACCCTAGTTGACGACACACAAGCCTAGCCTCCACTAAATCCCAATTATCATCGCAGATCGTCCCCCACTCTCCATTATGAAATACTTCGACACGACCGGTGCCGTTGGCACTCAATGGCCCCCGTAATCTGAGTGGTAAATTCGGGTCTGCGAAAATTGAAAATTGAAAAGTTATTATCTAGGAAAGGTTTTCCCAAAAAATCCAAAAAACAAATTCGTAAAAATTCTTGAAATTAAGAGCGTGCACCATTTACTCAAATAATTTCACAATCCATTGTAATTACGCATACCAAATATACAACATCTTTACCTGCTGTTGCGCATTTAACTCCAGCGTCTTTGTCATGTCCACATTGTTGATTTCCCCATCCATTATGAGAACAACTTGTTATATTTTGTTCTTCTCCAGTACAACCGACATAAGATAACCATATTCGTCCAGAACCTGATGGAACCTCGCCGCCTTGAAGAGCATTAAAGGCGCCTGAATAGCCAAGTTGTCGGCATACCACCCTGGCATCTCTGAAACTCCAATCATTATCACAAATTGTCCCCCACTCTCCATTGTATAGTACTTCAACACGACCTGTTCCATTTGCACTCGATGGCCCCTGTAACCTCAGTATAACCGGCTTATCTGAAAGAACTTTAAAGTATTTGAGAATATATCAGCTCAATGATGGCATATATTTCATATAAATTAAAATTTATTTTTAAGGTTATGCGACTCTGTAGTCAAACTAAACTTAAAAGTAATCCGTAGGTAGTGGTAAAAAATTAATCAGTAGATAGTGCTAAGAGTTGTAAACCGTGTTGACTGATGAAAATTTGTCGGAATTTTTCGTTCTCGAATGGACTCGTACCGGTATTGGGCCGGATAGCTAAAAATAAAACAGTTTTATGAAGATTGCGTCTTTAGAAATTCAAGTCATACAATTGAATATTCACTGAGATGGCGAGCAAACAGTGGCGTAGCTAGCATCGATAATTGGGCGCCGATATTCATATATTCATGTTCTGCATTATCAATTTCTTTTGAAATATATTTTCTTTGCAGTCACTTAACATGAATATATGCATGAATATTGCCCACTCCCCAATTATCGATGGCTACGCCACTGCATGCGAGCAAAAACGTCTCGGCAAAAAACACGATAATTTTATTGTACACACGGTTGCCAAAACTATATAATTATTGTGAATCCTCGTTCGACCTTGAATTTGGGTTGAATAAAACATGAATGTTCACGTGCATAAACTTAACCGAAAATTGACTAAATAGTAGGAAATGAAATAAGAGGAATTTTTCTTAAATGCTTTACCTGTTGTACTACATTCTACTCCAGCGTCTTGAGAATGCGAGCAGGCATTATTTCCCCAACCATTGTGAGAACAACTTGTTAGATTTTGTTCCCGGCCAGAACAACGGACATAACTTAACCAAATAACTGCAGAAGATCCAGAAGGTACGTCGCCTCCAGTAAGAGGCCTAACTGCATCCGGGTACCCAAGTTGACGACATGCAACCCTGGCATCATTTATACCCCAACCATGTTCACAAATTGTCCCCCATAGTCCCCTATGGAATATTTCAACACGGCCTGTTCCATTCGCACTCGATGGCCCTCGTAACCTCAGTGTTTGCGATTGATTACCAGTGACTTCAAAATCTGTAATGAATTTATGTTGTAACCATAAATTTAAGTTGCAGGAGGTATCAAATTTTCATGATAATATTTGCTAGAGTATTTGTTTACGTAAAAACATTAAACATGGCCACCCACAGAAGTGCCGGCAGTAATTTAGGACTACGGGGACCGCATTTAACGGGCTTGACACATGTGAAAACAAAAGCTGCATTAGTATGTGACTACGATACCTGTTGTTTTACACTCTACCCCAGCGTCTTCCGAATGGCTGCAATCTTCAATGCCCCATCCTGCGTGAGAGCAGCTTGATATATTTAGTTCTTTTCCAATACAACCAACGTCGTCTAACCATATAGGTCCAGTACCGGAAAGAACCTCATCTCCAGAAAGCGATCTGACAGCATCTGAATAACCAAGTTGACGACAAACAACCCTGGCATCATTTATATCCCATTCATCATCGCAGATTGTCCCCCATTCTTCACGGTAAAACACTTCGAGACGACCCTTTCCAATTGTACTCAATGGCCCTTGTAACCTCAATGTCCCATGTTTATCTGAAAGACCTTGAAAGAATACCCGAGCTAATTGAGTTCACAAATACGACTCATGATAAAGTCAGAAGTAGTGAATTTTAATTTTCGAACGACAAAATTACAACGACAAGAGGTGTGAGGTATGGGAAGGCAACGTCTTATTTCTCGTACAAAATCGGATTAAAACTGGAAAAGTTGGTTTAACGAGAAAAGTGATAACATTAAAATCATGATAAAGTATTTATTTAATAGAATTAAGATTTGGGTATTTGAACTTCTGTCCCCTATGTGAATTGTTGCACATTATGTTCCTCGCGGATTCTGGACATGTAATTATTAACAATTAAAACATTCCCTCTCATGATCTATCTCAACCTCACGTCAATCATCTCACTTTTTTTTTTTTTCAGAAATTTTTGTATGAATTTAAAGATTTTTGTACTTGTATTGTGGCAGAGAGGTACACAGTGCTTGAAAACGGCAGGAAATTCTTGCTGAACAGATCGAGTGTTATTAATAAAAAGGATGTACGGTTAGATACACATTCCTTTGATTGCATGGTAACTACGATATGATTCCATTGTACAAGGTTTAAGTCCAAATAATTGAAGCAAACAATCTTGGATCCAGTGTGATCCAATGTGAGAAAAACAAAGAAAAATTCCGCTCCGCGCAAAAATTCCGCTTCGTGCGAAAAATTCCGCTCCGCGCGCAAAATTCCGCCTAGTGGAAAACAGGCTTTAGAAAAGCCTCATTCGACCTTGTTCTCGAAAAAAACCCATTTGACCTTGCACCTATCGTAGAAAGAGCCTGGAACGGCATAGTTGAGAAAGGTATCGAATAAATTCGAACTCGTATCGTATGAAGGCAATAAATTGGTTTCGAACGCATATTTTGAATTCCAAAAATTCCTCGGGCCTGTTCTATGAAAGCCGGATAGCGCTATCCACTGCATGGATAGTGTGTTTTTTTCCAATCGCTTCAAAATCGCCCGCTGTTAGGAATAACTTTGATTAAATCCTAGTATTCCTAAATTGAGAATCCTTTTTAATAATTGTTGGTTCCAAACCTGAAATTTTCTTGCTTTTCAAGCATTTTTAGAACGGTTCAAAAAAATCACTATCCGGTGGATAGCGCAATCCAACAATCGTATACAACCGGCCCCAGGATGTCTGCTGTTGTTATTTGTTTTTCCTGCTCTAAACCGTTACTGGAATACATTTCGAAATTGAAAGAAGACCCAATAAGCCTCCCTACAATTGACTCCAGAATGATACTTCTATTCAAGAGTTTTTTTGTCACTTTACCTCTTCTACTACATTTTACTCCAGCGTCCTCAGAATGTGAGCAATCGTTTACTCCCAAACCATTATGACGACACATTGCTATATTCTCCTCTTTCCCAGTGCAAGCGACGTTATCTAACCAAATACGCCCCGAACCAGATGGAACCTGCCCCCCATCAAGTTTTGCAATGGCATCTGGATACCCTAGTTGACGACACACAACCCTAGCGTGCACTAAATCCCAATTATCATCGCAGATCGTCCCCCACTCTCCATTGTGAAATACTTCGACACGACCGGTGCCGTTGGCATTCAATGGCCCTTGTAATCTGACTGGTAAATTCGGGTCTGCGAAAATTGAAAATTGAAAAGTTATTATTTAGGAAAGGTTTTGCCCAAAAATCCGAAAAACGAATTCGTAAAAAATCTTGAAATTAAGAGCGCGTACCATTTAATCAAATAATTTCACAATCTATTGTAATTACGCTTACCAAATATACAACATCTTTACCTGCTGTTGCGCATTTAACTCCAGCGTCTTTGTCATGTTCACATTGTTGATTTCCCCATCCATTATGAGAACAACTTGTTATATTTTGTTCTTCTCCAGTACAACCGACATAAGATAACCATATTCGTCCAGAACCTGATGGAACCTCGCCGCCTTGAAGAGCATTAAAGGCGCCTGAATAGCCAAGTTGTCGGCATACCACCCTGGCATCTCTTAAACTCCAACCATTATCACAAATTGTTCCCCATTCTCCATTGTACAGTACTTCAACACGACCTGTTCCATTGGCACTCGATGGCCCTTGTAACCTGAGTGTAACCGGCGTATCTGCAAGAACTTTGAAGTATTTGAGAATATATCAGGTCAATGATGGTATAAATTTGATATAAATTAAAAGTACTTTAAGGTTAGGGAACTCAGCAGTCAAACTAAACTTAAAAATAATCCATAGGTAGTGTTAAAAAAAGTAATCAGTAAGTAGTGCTAACAACTGTAAGCCGTGTTGACTGATGGAAATTTGTTGGAATTTTTCGTTCTCGACTGGACTCGTACCGGTATTGGTCCGGAGAGCTAAAAATGAAACAGTTTTATGAAGATTGCGTCTTTAGAAATTCAAGTCATATAATTGAATATCCAGATGTCGAGCAAGCACTGGCGTAACCAGCATCGATGATTGGGGGGCGATACTCAAATATCATGTTCTCCATTATCAATTTCTTTTGAAATCTATTGTCCTTGCAGTCACTTCACATGAATATATGAATATTGCCCACCCCCCAATTATCGATTGCAACGCCGCTGCGACCAAGAAAAGTATCCGCAGTAAGCACGAATATTTTATTGAATGTACGTTTGCCAAATGAATCCTCGTTCGTCCTTGAATTTGGGTTAAATAAAACATGAATGTTCACGTGCATAAAATCAACCGAAAATTAACTGAATAGTAGGAAATAAAATACGAGGAATTTTTCTTAAATGCTTTACCTGTTGTACTACATTCTACTCCAGCGTCTTGAGAATGCGAGCAGGCATTATTTCCCCAACCAATATGAGAACAACTTGTTAGATTTTGTTCCCGGCCAGAACAACTGACGTAACTTAACCAAATAACTCCAGAAGATCCAGAAGGTACGTCGTCTCCAGTAAGAGGCCTAACTGCATCCGGGTACCCAAGTTGACGACATGCAACCCTGGCATCATTTATTCCCCAAGCATGTTCACAAATTGTTCCCCATACTCCTTTGTGGGATATTTCAACACGGCCTGTTCCATTTGCACTTGATGGCCCTCGTAACCTCAGTGTTTGCGATTGATTACCAGTAACTTCAAAATCTGTAATGAATTTATGTTGTAGCCATAAATTTAAGTTGCAGGAGGGTATCAAATTTTCGTAATAATATTTGCTAGATGTATTTGTTTACGCAAAAACATGGCCACCCACAGAAGTGCCGGCAGTAATTTAGGACTACGGGGACCGAATTTAACGGTTTGACACAAGTGAAAACAAAAGATACATCAGTATGTGACTCCGATACCTGTTGTTTTACATTCTACCCCAGCGTCTTCCGAATGGCTGCAATCTTCAATGCCCCATCCTGCGTGTGAGCAGCTTGATATATTTAGTTCTTTTCCAATACAACCAACGTTATCTAACCATATAGGTCCAGTACCGGAAGGAACCTGATCTCCAGAAAGCGATCTAACAGCATCTGAATAACCAAGTTGACGACAAACAACCCTGGCATCATTTATATCCCATTCATCATCGCAGATTGTTCCCCATTGTTCACGGTAGAACACTTCGAGACGACCCTTTCCAATTGTACTCAATGGCCCTTGTAATCTCAATGTCCCATGTTTATCTGAAAGATCTTGAAAGAATACCCGAGCTAATTGAGTTCACAAATACGACTCATGATAAAGTCAGAAGTAGCGAATTTTAATTTTCTAACGACAAATTTACAACGACAAGAGGTGTGAGGGTATGGAAAGGCAACGTCTTATTTGTCGTAAAAAATCGGATTAAAACTGGAAAATTCGGTTTAACGAGAAAAGTGATAACATTAAAATCATGATAAAGTATTTATTTATTGGAACTAAAAGTCGGGTATTTAAACTTCTGTCCCTTATGTGAACTGTTGCACATTATGTTTCTCGCGGATTCTGGGGATGTAATTACTAACAATTAAAGCGTTCTCTCTCATAAGCTATCTCAACCTCACGTGAATCATCTCACTTGCAATTTTTTTTTCAGAAATTTTTGTATGAATTTAAAAAGTTTTGTACTTGTATTGTGGCAAAGAGGTACACAGTGCTTGAAAACGGCACGAAATTCTTGCTGAACAGAGTATTATTACTAAAAAGGATGTATGGTTAGATACACATTCCCCTGATTGCATGGTAACTACGAATTGATTCCATTATACAAGGTTTAAGTCCAAATAATAGAAGCAAACAATCTTGGATCCAGTGTGATCCAATGTGAGAAAAACAAAGAAATATTCCGCTCGGCGCGCAAAATTCTGCCTAGTGGAAACCAGGATTTAGAAAAGCCTCATTCGACCTTGTTCTTGAAAAAAACTCATTTGACCTTGCACCTATCGTGGAAAGAGCCCGGAACGGCATAGTTGAGAAAGGTATCGTGTAAAGACGAACTCGTATCGTATGTAGCCAATAAATTGGTTTCGAACGCATATTTTGAATTCCAAAAATTCCTCGGGCCTGTTCTATCAAGGCCGGATAGCGCTATCCACTGCATGGATAGTGTGTTTTTTTCCAATCGCTTCAAAATCGCCCGCTATTAGGAATAACTTTGATTAAATCCTAGTATTCCTAAATTAAGAATCCTCTTTAATAATTGTTGGTTCAAAGGCTTAAATCTTATTGCTATTGAAGCATTTTTAGAACGGTTAAAAAAATCACTATCCGGTGGATAGCGATATCCAACCTTCGTACAACCGGCCCCAGGATGTTTTGCTGTTGTTATTTGTTTTGCCTGCTCTAAACCGTTACTGGAATAATTTTCTAAATTTGAAGAAAACGCAATAAGCCTCTCTACAATTGATTCCAGAATGATTTTTCCATTCAAGAGTTTTTTTTGTCACTTTACCTGTTCTTCTACATTTTACTCCAGCGTCCTCAGAATGTGAGCAATCGTTTACTCCTAAACCATTATGATCACACATTGCTATATTCTCCTCTTTCCCAGTGCAAGCGACGTTATCTAACCAAATACGCCCCGAACCAGATGGAACCTGCCCCCCATCAAGTTTTGCAATTGCATCTTGATACCCTAGTTGACGACACACAACTATAGCATGTTCTAATTCCCAATAATCGTCGCAGATCGTCCCCCACTCTCCATTGTGAAATACTTCGACACGACCGGTGCCGTTGGCACTCAATGGCCCTTGTAATCTGACTGGTAAATTCGGGTCTGCGAAAATTGAAAATTGAAAAGTTATTATTTAGGAAAGGTTTTGCCCAAAAATCCGAAAAATGAATTCGTAAAAATTCTTGAAATTAAGAGCGCGCACCATTTACTCAAATAATTTCACAATCTATTGTAATTACGCTTACCAAAAATACAACATCTTTACCTGCTGTTGCGCATTTAACTCCAGCGTCCTTGTCATGTTCACATTGTTGATTTCCCCATCCATTATGAGAACAACTTGTTATATTTTGCTCTTCTCCAGTACAACTGACATAAGATAACCATATGCGCCCTGAACCAGATGGAACCTCGCCGCCTTGAAGAGCATTAAAGGCGCCTGAATAGCCAAGTTGTCGGCATACCACCCTGGCATCTCTTAAACTCCAATCATTATCACAAATTGTTCCCCATTCTCCATTGTACAGTACTTCAACACGACCTGTTCCATTTGCACTCGATGGCCCCTGTAACCTCAGTATAACCGGCTTATCTGCAAGAACTTTAAAGTATTTGAGAAAATATCAGGTCGATGATGGTATAAATTTGATATATATTGAAAATTATTTTCAAGGTTATGGAATTCAGTAGTCAAACTAAACTTAAAAGTAAAAGGTAGGTAGTGTAAAAAAGTAATCAGTAGGTAGTGCTAACAGTTGTAAACCGTGTTGACTGATGGAAATGTTTCGGAATATTTCGTTCTCGATTGGACTCGTACCCGTATTACGCCGGGGAACTAAAATTGAAACAGTTTTATACAGATTGCGTCTTTAGAAATTCAAGTCATATAATTGAATATTCAGATGGCGAGCAAGTAGTGGCGTAGCCAGCATCGATAATTGAGGAGGGCGATATTCATATATTCATGTTCTGCATTATCAATTTCGTTTGAAATCTATTGTCCTTGCAGTCACTTAACATGTATATATGTATGGCTACGCCACTGCGAGCAAGAAAAGTCTCCGCAGAAAACACGATTATTTTATTGTACGTACGGTTGCCAAAACTATTGTGAATCCTCGTTCGACCTTGAATTTGGGTTAAATAAAACATGAATGTTCACGTGCATAAAATCAATCGAATATCAACTGAATAGTAGGAAATGAAATTTTTATTTTCCTACTATTTTTCTTAAATCCTTTACCTGTTGTACTACATTCTACTCCAGCGTCTTCAGAATGCGAGCACGCATTATCTCCCCAACCATTGTGATAACAACTTGTTAGATTTTGTTCCCCGCCAGAACAACGAACGTAACTTAACCAAATAACTCCAGAAGATCCAGAAGGCACGTCGCCTCCAGTAAGAGGCCTAACTGCATCCGGGTAACCAAGTTGACGACATGCAACCCTAGCATCATTTATATCCCAACCATCATCACAAATTGTCCCCCATAGTCCTTTGTGGAATATTTCAACACGGCCTGTTCCATTTGCACTTGATGGCCCTCGTAACCTCAGTGTTTGCGATTGATTACCAGTAACTTCAAAATCTGTAATGAATTTATGTTGTAGCCATAAATTTAAGTCGGAGGAGGATATCAAATTTCATAATAATATTTTCTGGAGTATTTCTTTGCGCAAAAACATGGCCTCCCACAGAAGTGCCGGCAGCAATTTAGGACTCCGGGGACCGATTTTAACGGTTTGACACAAGTGAAAACAAAAGCTGCATTAGTATGTGACTACGATACCTGTTATTTTGCAATCTACCCCAGCGTCTTCCGAATGGCTGCAATCTTCAGTGCCCCATCCTGCGTGAGAGCAGCTTGATATATTTAGTTCTTTTCCAATACAACCAACGTTATCTAACCATATAGGTCCAGTACCGGAAGGAACCTGATCTCCAGAAAGTGATCTAAGAGCATCTGAATAACCAAGTTGACGACAAGCAACCCTGGCATCATTTATATCCCATTCATCATCGCAGATTGTTCCCCATTCTCCGCGGTAGAACACTTCGAGACGACCCTGTCCAATTGTACTCAATGGCCCTTGTAATCTCAATGTCCCATGTTTATCTGAAAGAGGTTGAAAGAATATCCCGAGCTAATTGAGTTCACGGCCAAATGGGTCATGGTAGAGTGAGAGGTAGCGAATTTTAATATTTGAACCACAAAATTACAACGACAAAAGGTGTGAGGGTATGGAAAAGCAACGTCTTATTTCTCGTATAAAATCGGATTAAAATTGGAAAGGTCGGTTTAACGAGAAAAGAGATAACAATTCAACGGTTTGACACATGAGTAAACAAAAGCTGCATTAGTATGTGACTACGATACCTGTTATTTTGCAATCTACCCCAGCGTCTTCCGAATGGCTGCAATCTTCAGTGCCCCATCCTGCGTGAGAGCAGCTTGATATATTTAGTTCTTTTCCAATACAACCAACGTTATCTAACCATATAGGTCCAGTACCGGAAGGAACCTGATCTCCAGAAAGTGATCTAAGAGCATCTGAATAACCAAGTTGACGACATACAACCCTGGCGTCATTTATATCCCATTCATCATCGCAGATTGTTCCCCATTCTCCACGGTAGAATACCTCAACACGTCCTCTTCCAGTTGTACTCAATGGCCCTTGTAATCTCAATGTCCCATGTTTATCTGAAAGACCTTGAAAGAATATCCCGAGCTAATTGAGTTCACGGCCATACGAATCATGGTAAAGTCAGAGGTAGCGAATTTTAATTTTCGAACGACAAAATTACAACGACAAAAGGTGTGAGGTATGGAAAAGCAACGTCTTATTTCTCGTATAAAATCGGATTAAAACTGGAAAAGTTGGTTTAACGAGAAAAGAGATAACATTAAAATCATGATAAAGTATTTATTTATTGGAACTAAGAGACGGGTATTAAAACTTCTGTCCCCTATGTGAACTGTTGCACATTATGTTCCTCGCGGATTCTGGGCATGTATTTATTAACAATTTAAGCATTCCCTCTCATAAACTCAACCTGACGTGAATCATCTCACTTGCAATTTTTTTTTCAAAAATTTTTTTATGAATTTAATAATTTTTGTGCTTGTATTGTGGCAGAGAGGTACACAGTGCTTGAAAACGGCACGAAATTCTTGCTGAACAGAGTATTATTACTAAAAAGGATGTATGGTTAGATACACATTTCCTACTGGTAGTTGATTGCATGGTAACTACGAATTGATTCCATTATACAAGGTTTAAGTCCCAATAATGGAAGCAAACACTCTTGGATCCAGTGTGATCAAATGTGAGAAAAACAAAGAAAAATCCCGCTCCGCGCGCAAAATTTCGCCTAGTGGAAAACAGGCTTTAAAAAAGTCTCATTCGACCTTGTTCTTGAAAAAATGTCATTTGACTTTGCACCTATCGTGGAAAAAGCCCGAAACGGCATAGTTGACTAAGATATTGTGTAAACACGATCTCGTATCGTATGTAGGCAATAAATTGGTTTCGAACGCATATTTTGAATTCCTAAAATACCTAGGGGCGGTTGTATGAAAGCCGGATAGCGCTATCCACCGGATAGTGTGTTTTTTTTTCAATCGCTTCAAAATCGCCCGCTATTAGGAATAACTAAAGGAATTAGTAATAATAGGAATTATTAAATCGTAGTATTCCTAAATTAAGAATCCTCTTTGATAATATTTGGTTCAAAGGCTGAAATTTTATTGTCATTGAAGCATTTTTAGAACGGTTAAAAAAATCATTATCCGGTGGATGGCGCTATCCAACCTTCGTACAACCTGCCCCAGGATTTTTGCTGTTGTTATTTGTTTTGCCTGCTCTAAACCATTACTGGAATACATTTTAAAATTGGAAAAAGACGCAATAAAGCTCCCTAGAAGTGATTCCAGAATGATCTTTCCATTCAAGAGTTTTTTTGTCATTTTACCTGTTCTTCCACATTTTACTCCAGCGTCCTCAGAATGTGAGCAATCGTTTACTCCTAAACCATTATGATCACACATTGCTATATTCTCCTCTTTCCCAGTGCAAGCGACGTTATCTAACCAAATACGCCCAGAACCAGATGGAACCTGCCCCCCATCAAGTTTCGCAATGGCATCTGGATACCCTAGTTGACGACACACAACTATAGCATGTTCTAAATCCCAAATATCATCGCAGATCGTCCCCCACTCTCCATTGTGAAATACTTCGACGCGACCGGTGCCGTTGGCACTCAATGGCCCTTGTAATCTGACTGGTAAATTCGGGTCTGCGAAAATTGAAAATTGAAATGTTATTATTAAAAAAAGATTTTGTCCAAAATTCGAAGAAAGAAATCGTAAAAATTCTTGAAATGAAAAGCACGCACCATTTACTCAAATAATTTCACAATCCATTGTAACTACGCTTACCAAATATACAACATCTTTACCTGCTGTTGCGCATTTAACTCCAGCGTCTTTGTCATGTTCACATTGTTGATTTCCCCATCCCTTACGAAAACAACTTGTTATATTTTGTTCGTCTCCATTACAATTGACATAAGATAACCATATTCGTCCAGAACCTGATGGAACCTCCCCGCCTTGAAGAGCATTAAAGGCGCCTGGATAGCCAAGTTGTCGGCATACCACCCTGGCATCTCTTAAACTCCAACCATAATCACAAATTGTTCCCCATTCTCCATTGTACAGTACTTCAACACGACCTGTTCCATTTGCACTCGATGGCCCCTGTAACCTCAGTATAACTGGCGTATCTGCAAGAGCTTTAAAGTATTTACGAATATATCAGGTCAATGATGGTATAAATTTGATATAAATTAAAAATTATTTCTAAGGTTATGGAACTGTGTAGTCAAACTAAACTTAAAAGTAATCAGTAGGTAGTGCTAAAAAAGTAATCAGTAGGTAGTGCTAATAGTTGTAAACCGTATTGACTGATGAAAATTTGTCGGAATTTTTCGTTCTCGAATGGACTCGTACTGGTATTGGGCCGAAAAGCTAAAAATGAAACAGTTTTTTGAAGATCAAGTCTTTAGAAATTTAAGTCGTATAATTGAATACATATATATTCATGTTCTGCATCTTCAATTTCTTTTGAAATTCTATTGTCCTTAATTGCATTCACTTAACATATATATATATGAATATTGCCAACCCCCCCAAATATTGATGGCTACACCACTGCGAGCAAAAAAGTCTCCGCAGTAAACACGATTATTTTGTTGTACGTACGGTTGCCAAAACTATTGTGAATCCTCGTTCGACCTTGGATTTTGGTTAAATAAAACATGAATATTCACCTGCATAAAATCAATCGAAAATTACCTGAATGGTGGGAAATGAAATGAGAGGAATTTTTCTCAAATGCTTTACCTGTTGTACTACATTCTACTCCAGCGTCTTGAGAATTCGAGCAGTCAGTATTTCCCCAACCATTGTGAGAACAACTTGTTAGATTTTGTTCCCGGCCAGAACAACGAACGTAACTTAACCAAATAACTCCAGAAGATCCAGAAGGTACGTCGCCTCCAGTAAGAGGCCTAAATGCATCCAGGTACCCAAGTTGACGACATGCAACCCTAGCATCATGTATACCCCAACCATATTCACAAATTGTCCCCCATAGTCCTTTGTGGAAAATTTCAACACGACCTGTTCCATTTGCACTTGATGGCCCTCGTAACCTCAGTGTTTGCGATTGATTACTAGTAACTTCAAAATCTGTAATGAATTTATGTTGTAGTCATAAATTTAGGTTGCAGGGGGTATCAAATTTTCATAATAATATTTGCTGGAGTATTTGTTTACGCAAAAACATGGCCACCCACAGAAGTGCGGGCAGCAATTTAGGACTACGGGGAGCGATTTTAACGGTTTGACACATGTGGAAACAAAAGGTGTATACGTAGTATTTGACTACGATACCTGTTGTTTTACATTCTACCCCAGCATCTTCCGAATGCCCGCAATATCCAATGCCCCATCCTGCGTGAGAGCAGCTTGATATATTTAGTTCTTTTCCAATACAACCAACGTCGTTTAACCATATAGGTCCAGTACCGGAAGGAACCTGATATCCAGAAAGCGATCTAACAGCATCTGAATAACCAAGCTGACGACAAGCAACCCTGGCATCATTTATATCCCATTCATCGTCGCAAATTGTTCCCCATTCTCCAAGGTAGAACACTTCGAGGCGACCCTGTCCAACTGTACTCAATGGCCCTTGTAATCTCAATGTCCCATGTTTATCTGAAAGAGCTTGAGAGAATATCCCGAGATAATTGAGTTCACGGCTACGAGTCATGGTAGAGTCAGAGGTAATGAATTTTAATTTTTGAACCACAAAATTACATGTGTGAGGTATGGAAAGACAACGTCTTATTTCTCGTATAAAATCGGATTAAAACTGGAAAAGTCAGTTTAACGAGATGAAATTAAAATCATGATAAAGTATTTACTATTATTCATGGGAACTAAGATTCAGGTATTTGAACTTCCGTCCCTAATGTGTATTGTTGCACACTATCTTCCTTCTGGATTCTGAGCATGTAATTACTAACAATTAAAGCAATCCCTCTTGGAATTTTTCAAACCCTTATAACCGGTTTGCAAAAATTAGCGTAAGTGACCTTAAATAAGTATCTAGAACGATTATTGTTGTTATAAATTTTTACATGTACGATTTGTTATCACACCTGTCTAAATACTTTCTAGAACTTTACCTGTTGTAAAGCACTGAACCCCAGCGTCTTCAGAATGGCTGCAATCGTGAATTCCCCATCCTTGATGAGAACAACTTGTTAAATTTCTTTCTAATCCAGTACACGAGACTCCATCCAACAAAATAGGTCCAGAACCAGATGGAACTCGGTCACCATGAAGAGCTTCACGGGCATCTAAATAGCCAAGTTGTCTACATGCAACTTTGGCATCCTCAAAACTCCATTCATCATCACAGATTGTCCCCCACTCTCCCTCGTAGAATACTTCAACTCGACCAGTACCATTCGCACTCAAAGGACCTTGTAACCTGAGTGAACCAGGCTTGGGAAGAACTTAAGGCAATGAGGTGATAATTTTAATATTTATTATTGATCAACTACAGAATCATGAGGGCATGAGAAGTAAAATCGTATGTTTCACTTCAAAACCTTTTAAAGTTAGTCCAGAAGAAGAAAAAGAAGGAAAGCCAATTAATGAGTTAAAAGCAAACGGAAATATAGTTTTATTGTTGTTATAAGATTTACGAAACATAATTCTAAGATTAAAAGCTTAGAATAATCAAGATTAGGATGATAAAGATGCCTAATGAAATCTCAAAAAAATCTTTCAAATTTTCTGGTATTAAAATATTTAACTGATTATGCTGGCATGAATATATTTACTAGAAAATAGCTGTTTCACACGATGATGAAAAACAGAAATAGTGACGGTGGGAAAGACTGCATGAGGTTATCACATGCTATGTAAGTTTCCATGAAAAAGGGGCTTGCATCCGAAGAATGCTCGCATTCGCAAAGCGTTCGCATTTTGGCTTTCATTGAGGGTTAACAAAGAGAATTGTAGTCTCCAATGCATACTTGATACTTCCACCGTGAAATAGTGGTAGAGTGAAAATTTTGGGTTGAATAATCAGCCTTTGTACACAGTCAATTGGGAAATGGTCCTAAAACTCCCCTAACTTCAATCATCCATCTTTGAAACAACCAGCTGCAGGAAAACAAGGCTCACTACGAAGATATGGCCTAGTCGCAGCTTTACCTGTTGTGTTACAGACTACTCCCGCGTCCTCTGAATGTTTGCAATCCTGGTTACCCCATCCACGGTGAGAACAACTTGTTATAACTTGTTCTTCACCCGTACATATGACGTCGTCTAACCAAATGGGTCCAGAACCAGCAGGAATCTGCCCCCCTTGAAGTGGTCTGACTGCATCAGAATAACCAAGTTGACGACATGCAACTCTGGCGTCATTTATATCCCACTCGTCGTCACAGATCGTCCCCCATTGTCCACCGTGGAGCACTTCAATGCGCCCTTTTCCATTTGTACTCGATGGCCCTTGCAATCTTATTGATCCAGGCTTACCGGCAACAACTTGAAAGAAAATGAAAAGCAGTAGCAATTTATTCACTGATGAAGGCCCGGGGTAAACGGGCCGAAAGCTTTGCAGTATTATAGACTTACGTGGTGTACATACAAGCTTAATTACTTATTGAAATTTATACTGTTAGCTACCTGATTCTCATTTAGTCGGCAATTAAATTTTACCTGTGGAACTGCATTCTACCCCGGCGTCTTCGTTGTGTTCGCAATCGCTATTTCCCCATCCATCATGCATGCATCTTCCTATGTTCGGTTCTTTCCCACTACAAACGACGTCATCTAACCATATCGGTCCAGAACCTGAAGGAACCTGGTCACCTTTAAGCGCTCTGACAGCAAGGGGATAGCCAAGTTGACGGCATACAACTCTAGCATCTCTGATATTCCATCCATCATCGCAGATTGTCCCCCAGGTTCCATTGTGATATATTTCGACTCGACCAGTACCGTTTTCACTCAATGGACCTTTTAGCCTCACCGTTACCCTTGAACCTGAAAAGGGAATTTGCCATTGATGGTATGAAAATTCCGGCCAAAAAATTGTGAAGGCCTTAGTTATTTACAGGAGTTATTTATCTAATGGCGAACATGGGGAATGAAGTAACACGGTGTTACTAACACCCAAATCCTTAGTGCGAAATAGTGCGAAAACGTTTTGGGATCACATAAAGTGTGTGTTTTGGGGGGGCATGATGTCAGATATCATAGATAAATACTTTATTAAAGTGCTTTATAAATATATGTAAAAATGAGCTAATTTTCTAATTTCCTAATTTTTTAGCATCATACCTAAAATGCCTATACGTTTGAAGTCGGTCTCATTTATTATGATTACACTATAGTGAGTGACTACACGAAGTATACAGTATTGCCATGTTTTGCCATAGACAATGCTGGAAGAACAAACAGTGATCATGAGAGTGATTGATCTTTAACAGTTGTAATGCTGACTTATGTACCTTGCTTTGATAGATTTTAATTACGTAAACAACAAATTAACTATATTAACTTCGTCCATTGATGAAATACACTATAGTTTCAACAAATGCTTCGTTATTAAATGGAGTCAATGATTGTACAACAACAAAACTGCAGATTTGAAATCTGTCGAATATGACGCATCTATCGAAGCTTCACGGACGCAGAAACTGTAGACCTATCATACAGGGCAGTTCTGATTAGAACAAACAGTTTTTGCAAGACAAATCATACCACATAAGATTCAAGGTGGGTAATATTTGTAGGATAGTTGATAGATCAGGAGCTTAGACCTAGGGCAACTTGAGTAATGTTTCTCAATATTTGAAACAGTATTTGAATGCCTATTTAAAAAGTCTTCATGAAATGATTAAAAAGGAAATTTTGTTTTCAAAGAAGAAACTTTCATGTTGAGTATCGAGTCAATACTTCATGTTGTGCGAGTGTAACGTCCGGTAATTGTAATGACTGATTACAAAACTTGGATTTTCATTTTTAGATTCACTTGTATGAAACAACACCGGTTTTGTGAATTGAAATATGTTAGGTGATAGACAAGAGCGAAGAAATGTTGCGTATGTATTTGGATAGCATTTTTTACTTATTTGCGCAGACCAACTCAACTATTGAAACATGGACTTTGGTAACGTCATGTCTTTAAAAGGTGTTTTACGTACGGATTGCAACTCTAATCAACTTTAAGTTGGTCAACATTGTAATGTAACCACCTGTCGCGTGACGGTGCTGGTGACAGCGCCCCACTATTTTGCATGATAACATGACACTGTTTCAAATACTACCTCCACCCGTCCGACCCTATTGTTTCAGTGAAATCTTACGAATAAATTTCGGGGTTTTTTCGGCGGAATATTGCATTCCATGCTGCCGATAATGCCCGAACGATTGTGGCAACGGGATTGTATTTCTTTCATATGAATCCATTACCGACATTTAGCAAGTTAATTTTTTGCACAATTTATAAACACCCTGCTTTATATTTCACTCGTTTTAACTTCTGGGAGATTGAGCAATAATAAAGTGAAAGCAAATGAGCACAATACACAAGGGGGAGGGATGATGGCACAATACACAAGGGGGAGGGATTATGGAAAACGATTTTGTTCTTGCGAACGATTATGTATGTTTATGTCAAATTATGAGAACAATTGTTGATTATAAGAATGAACTGGGCGGTCTTACGATAAAAGCCCCGCAGCTAGTTTACGAACATACTTTCTTGCTGCTAATGAAATGCTCCTCCTATACAGAAAAAGTTCCCCATTTTATGATTTTAAGAGCAATTTGGGCGGTCTTAGGTTAAATGCCCCACAGCAATCTATGAAAATGTTCCCTCGTTAATGAAATGATCCTATACAGAAAAAGTTCCTCATTTTATGTTCCCCAATTATCAGTGCACCGCACGCGGTCAGAAATGTTCGCGTGTGTCGTCAACAACTGTCATTAGTAATCAACTTACAATTTTCCTGACCAATAAGTTCCTTTTTTTTATGGCGTGAAATTGTATTTTGCATCAAGGGGAATGCCGAATTTAAATGCTGTGCAAAGCAATTTTTCTTGTCAAGTGAGAACGTTCCATATCCTGTTTTCAATAAATGCACCGCACGCACAGTCAGAAACTGCTATTAATGATCTTTTTATCTTTTCACACGAAGAAGTTCCTTATTTTTTTGCACAAAATTGTTCCCTACGTGCATAACTTGAAGGTTGTTCAGTTTTCTCGTTAGAGGTGATGAACGTTTGTAAATACGACTGCATGCTGGCTAAAACTTTGAATAGCGCATAGTTTGGTTGCATATTTTTTTACAAACTACCGACTAGCATATTATTTGCTAAGAAGATGGTATATGCTAGCACCTATATTTTTGCTTCAGATATTATATAGCAGACAATCTTAAAAATATACACGATTATGATGACAAAGATTTTTAATTTCAATTTCACGTTCATCAAAAAGTAACTACACTACAAAGAAGTCGCGTTATATACTCAAACCTCTGGCGGGAATATTTGTGCGAAAAGATCAGGAAATTCTACTAAATTGTAGGAACCTGTAAAAATTTGGCAGAGTGATAGCCCAGTCACAATTTAGCTACTCACCCCAAAATATCCCATATTTGCTTAAATTTGAATTACGAAATTACTAAACTGCCCTAAATTTGCTTTTTGCTGGCAGGTGATAATTCATTGAAAAGGGGTGTTTGTTGAAATAACAAGGTAAGCTTGAAAACCCTATCAACTTGTACAAACACCTACTGTCCCCAGACTGGCTACTTAACACAGGATGGTGTTTGTTTTGACCGCATTGAGCAACAGGGAACTTTTCAAATGAGGTAATTTTAAACATTGCTATATTTATAAAAAATGTATGAGCTACAGGGGTTGCTGTAGTGAATAGGTAATTAATATACAATAAATAGTTAATGAAATGTTCGCGGGTGAATATCACCCATGAAAACATGGGAGTCGTGCAAACTCCTGGCGACCTTCAGTTTATATTTACAGTTATTTACTGTAAATATTTCTGCTGCATTTGAATTCTGTTGTTGAAATTAGAAATATATCCAGCATATTTATTTATTTATTTATTTATTGTGCTTCGCTTCAAACATCATACATTAATTGCATTAAGGCTAATAATGCATAAAAATAAAGAAAGGTAAAGAAAAGAAGCTGGGAAACAACAACAGCTTAATGCCAATTATAGTGGGCTCTTTACAAAATATTAATATAAATATGGAAAGCAGAAATAAGGTCGATTGATATGAAGAATTCATTAATGTCTTCAACAAGCGTTTTAAAATGCGAAACGTTTACTAGGTATATATTTACGATAGTAAGCAAGGATTAAAGATCTTTTGAGAAGCAAAAGAGCAATGTGATACTGATCGAGATTATTCTTTTTTCGCGTGTGGCTTTATTTGTAAAGAATTTCACCGCCGCGTGATTTGCGAGTTGTTTATTCAGCTTGCGTTGTATTTTTCTGTTATTGGTATGCGTCTTAGTTCGACTAAATTTCACAAGCTGTTCCTTCTGTCGGTATGCATGTGCAGATGTAGTAGGAAGCTAATCTTTACATCATGACAGGTCTTTGACTTTGCTATGCTGGATGTAATCATGCAATTTTTATGTCCCTTGAATGTCGCCCGGACATACTCATTTAATCCAGATTATCATATTATAAACATTCGAGGTAGATAAGGGTTATCTGGATTGATACCGGATACCACCAAGTACCGAATTCAATACTCGTTAAGTTTATTTATTTATGTTGCATAATCCTCTTCATATAAATAAGAAATTGATCTTGACCATTGATAACCGCATAATTCCATTCGCCTGAAATATTCAGACATTAACTTGTTGTAAACAAACTCGACAAAATGTTTTTTCTGTCAACTTAGTTATATGCAATCAAATATCTCAATTATCTTTTTCTTGCGCAGTTGTCGCAATTATCTGGCATTTCAAAAATATGTATCGACTTATCGTGCGATTAAATTCTTGGGGTCGTTATGTTCAAGCTTAGCTTGGGTGATGACCATGCCTTTTCAATTCCCGCTTTTCCTGGACGTCAACTAATAGCGCGAGAAAAATCAATTAATCCTGTTTTAAAATGAGTCAACTTCTCTTGAACCCGCCTTTCTAAGCGTACACAGATCTTGAATCACTTGTACTAATGTAGTTGTTATAAGGATTCTTGTAAAGCTAAAGGATGCATGGCATACATAGCACTCTTGGGAAGAATTTTAAACGTCCTGAAGAGGCCGTGATGTATGTGCAACGCGACGAAAACACTTTTTTTCGGAATGAGTCAAATTACGAGTACTTTTCAGCTTTCGTCCTAGCGTTAGGCTAGCTTGACTGAATTCCAGACTGCTAGCGGACCACCTGGTGTAGATACACTCGATCATATTACTTCTCAATTTCAAGTTCATGTAAGTGCAATTGAATTGAGGACTGCCCATTCGTCGGAGATTAGTGATGATTTCAGATTTTCACTTCTTGAATACACAGAGCGTTGCAAAGTATCTGTTGCCTTAATAAAGCGATGTTTTCCTTGATGTGAAGACGCTTTAATATGCGAAGGTCGCTCATACTGTAGCAAGTAGAGGAAGGCCTAATCAATTCTTATGATATCAGAGGCAACTTGCTACACTACACTCGTCAAATAGCTGCTTACCTTCGTGCGCGGATAAATTTCAGACTGGGTTGACAGCCTGTTGGGGTCGGTTAGTGAAAGCCAAGATTTCTCGTTTCCCCCAGGGTCTAATTACATCCCAATTTCCACAATAGCATATCAATGTTTGACTCGGTTTTAAGTCAACTAAATATCAAATAAAATAGAGTCATCATTGTCCTGATATGCACAATACAACATGATTCATTTGCTTGCTATTCGCATTCAATTCGATTCGAAATGAACAGTTTTTTGTGGAGGCTCGATATTCTACATGCGGGGAAGCTGATTTTAGTAATTTCACTAATTTGTATAATGGTATTAATTTTTTAAGAGGAAAAATTTCCTCATTTTCTAGCAGGAAGATCATACCAATATTTCAACGCCTTTGTCTATGGGAGAAACATTACTTTCCATTTGACACTGCATACTATGGGACGAATTTGATCGTTTCTTCCGAAAGGCCAAAGTCAATGCAATTCCCAGCGGCAGCCGCTTGTTCACGCAGCGAAGCAACCGGCAATGACCCAGGCATTGTTCGAGAACTACTCTTGTCTGATAAGAGCTGAATAGTTTGCATTCAGTTTCTATATTTCGACGTTGTAAGTCATGATTATGATGACAAATTCAGTCGTGTCAGGTTTACGTTGAAAGTTTCGGTATGCCCGAACACTGTTTTCATATGTCAACAAACGAACCAAGGGGTTTATCAAAGATCCTCAGAGGTGTAAAATATGAAGCGCTGGTAAAATTACTTTGCCTCGACTGGGATTTGAACTAGCATTTTCTTGTACCTAGACTGTTGAGCGGTGTATCTTCTCTCCTTCCCATTCCGATCATGCGAGATTTTAAAAATCTTTTGCAAGGATTTTGTTATGATTTTCCTGACGGGCTATTTGTCATCATTAATGACTGTTGATATTTGACTGGATCTTTCCAGGGTCGATTATATTTTTGCAGTATATCTTTGTTTTTTTGTACGGATTTGTCGGTAAAAAAAAGCAGATCGGCAAAGTCGCACATACATACATTTACTTTGTCTCTGAGTTCTGAACTAGAATTAATTGCATTAACCGAGCAAAGCTTTGGTACCCGCTCTAGTACTTTACAGGGATAACGGAGTTCACGGTGATGTCAAGTGTCTGAATTTACACAAAAGGGTTGCTTAATCCAAGTGTTAAAAACAGTTAAATACAAGCGAATGGTCTTCAATTAGAACTCGTCTGAATACCGACGTCAAGGACAAGGTTATTACTTATCAATTATGTTTATTGCCGGGTTGCTATATTTTTTTTATCAACGAATATTCTAAACTGTCTGAGTTTACAATCCGGTGTATTCAAAAACACCTAAACCATGCACTTTCTTAAGTTGCAAAATGCTAGCTTACGAACTGGATTTGCTTATCCCGAGTTCCTTGTGTTCTATGGCTCATTTCAAGTGCTTTAAAAGGACAATTTGCGTCAAACTCACCTTCGCACTGCAATACGGCGAGAATTAGTCCAATGAACACGCATTTTATGCAAATATTGCTTGACATCTTGCTAAAGTTTACTCGAATCAGCGCCCATGCATCAACTCCTGAAAGCATATATACAAGTATAATGGGATCGGCTGATTCGTATATTTCTCACTCGGAGCCCGAATATCAGGTCGAAATGATTTAGGTTGGATATCACTATAAGATGATTTGCCTAAATTCGCGAAATATATATAAACGCCACGGTGCATTGATGGACATTTGACCCCTTAATCCTTTTCAGTCAGCGCGTTTCCGCCATGGTAATTGAAGCCATATGAGTAATGTACGTTTGAGGGAAATTGTTCCCTTTTCACTCGAAATAACAGCTGAAATATGTGCTTACATGGCTTAAAACGCTCCGGGTTGATGAAACAATGTCGTGTTGCATCCCAAGAACGTTGTTTTTCATTGTTATCAAGTTGGAGCAATTATAACTTGCTTCATCGCCTGAAAAAAATTTTTAGTCGTGTTCTTTTTCAAGCAAATCAATTTACACCAATCGATCAGTTGACATCCAATTTCCTTTGGAGACGCAGGTGAAAGTCGTGCGATGAATGAATGAATATAGCAAAGCTTCAAATGGTCAAGATCTATATATTGTTGTGTTAAAAATGCACGGTTACTTTTCTTAAGGGTACTATAACTGAAATTCTGTTCCATGATTTTATTGCTGACACAACAAAGCATAGGTTCTATGGCCGTATCTCGGGTTACGCTGTGATATATGTCGCTAACTCTTGGGAATTTTTCGACAAGATAGTCCGGTATAACTAAACCATGTATGATTTTAAAAACCATACAACAGGTGTTGAGTTAAAGTTCATTCTTTTAGTTTTAGTAGTCGGATTTATATCAACTTTTTGTGTTAGCAAATCAGGGCCGCCATGTCATCGGTTCCCAAATACTATGTAGCTATTACCCTGTATGTTACATCAGCACAACCATACATGAAATACAGAAATCCCTTGTATTACATGCGCAACAGTATGTAATATATTCAGGGGCGTAACTCGAACAATAATTGGGAAGGGGGGTGAATACTCATATATTCAGTTCTGCCCGATTTCTATTGTAAGCTATTGCACTACCAAAAGAAATCCGTAGGGCGGCAGAACTGGACATCACTTTGGTCTCTGACAAACGGAAAAAATTAATAGACGAATAGGAAAAATTCGAACCTTCATACCCGTAAGTTTAAAACCGCTGAAATTAATTGACCGTGTTGTTAAACTAATATATTATTATAGAATAAGCCCGACCAAACCAAACTTTTGGTATATATTGTTCGTTTGCAAACAGGCTACACACAAAAATAATTAAGAAATTAAATTTTTGGATATTTGTTTTTAAGCAATTTATTGTAGTGTTAAACCAACATTCAAAATTAGAATTTTTAACCCCAATGACATTCTACAGGCTATACACGTTTGTCCTTTTATAATTGCCACAGCCAGTAAAGTATTCATTCTTCGAACAAATATTTACTTCTTAAGTAATAAAGAGTATATAGGTATTGTGGAGTTGCTCCCTTTCTTGCAATATTTCGTTTCTTGGATTACGGCGCTAGTCGAAAAATAAGAGTGTATGATTAGTTGCAGAATTCTATTATTATAATATATATTATATTAGAATACATTATATTTTTTCTCACTTTTTAAAAAACTGGAGGAAGTATACGTCTTCTGATTACGTTTATTTATAAAAACTGTGGCTCCTAACGGTAAATTTGAAACCGAAGTAAAGGATATTTCCGGAGATATTAGGTTGTGAAATTCAATCGAAAAATGGGTATTTTTTTGACAACTTTAGTTGGCAGATCACCTGGGTTATAAACAAGATGCTTTAATTAACAAGCTCAGTTGAGTATTTCTAATAAATAACCTTAGAATCGAAGTAATCAAGAATACTGGATGGTATCTAATCTTAGCTTACCACGGATGATAAGAACGTTTAAGGACAACAATGCTTCAATCGTTGATTCCAGATAAACAACAGATTGTCCATTGATGTTAACCTTTTGCCTCCTATCAGCGTCGACTGCACTAACCGCCAACGATTCTTTTCTATTCGATTTCTTCGTTTTCACCATTCTTTCTTTTTGTTTGAGATGAAAATTTTCGAGCTGACCCTGGAAATTTGCCGTGATAATCACATCGTAATCATTATTATTCAACAACAAAAACACATGGAAGTAGTCATTCTCGCCTATAAAATAGGAAAATAATACAGTTTAAGCGTTCCCTTCCAACAATGGTTTTAACTTTTTTATTGTCTAACGTTCAATAGGCTGCCTTTCTTTTAGACATAAATGCGACCAAGTAGCATAATTTGCTAATGGGCAACATGATTTGCCAATGCTGATGACACCTATAAATATCTCAAGCTTACAGAACAAGAAGGAAGTATTCATAACCATTCAACTGATGAGATATATTTTGGGGAAATAAATAATATTTTTGAGATGTATGAAAGCGCAAGCCAAAATGTTCACCACTTATAAACGTAATATTGACTAAAGAAATGGCGTTTTAAACCACAGTATCTTATTGACTGGATCACGATATTTGGTTTCTCCCACCTGTACTGCATTCTACCCCAGCGTCTTCTTCGTGTGTGCACCATGTATCTCCCTTTCCCCAGTCGGAATAAGAGCAACTGGTCAGGTTTTGTTCTATTCCTGTGCAACCAACACCGTATAACCAAATATGACCAACACCTGGGGGTGTCTGATGACCTTCAAGAGCTCTTATCGCATCTGGATAACCAAGTTGTTGACATACAGCTCGAGCTTCGTTTATATCCCAATCATCATCACAGATTGTCCCCCATTTCCCATTGTAAAGTACTTCAACCCGACCTGTTCCATTAGCGCTCAATGGTCCTTGTAACCTCAGTGTCACAGGTTTGTCTTCAATAACTTTCAAGGAATATCAGAGAATGTATTAGAACAGTGATGCCTGCTATATAGACACTGAAATATCTATTCAAAATATAGTAAAATAAAAAATGCATAACTTCTCTTCTGTCACTTGACAACTACAAAGGAATATCATGCAGCATCAGCGAGGACAAGAAAAATATCATCTTTAGAGTCCAGAGAATATAAAGCTCTAAAGCTAATTTCAAGGAGTTAAAAGTTAACTACATTCTTATACATCGAACCTTATGTGGTATGAAAAACTAAGTTTAACCAAATATAGAGGAGGAATAGAGATATCGTGCTCTCACCACACAGTAAGCTGCACAAGTTCCGAACCTTTTACACCACTTTTCCTTATACACATCTCCTAAAAACACTTACCCTATACCGGGATGAGCTTGCAAGTTAAACAAGCTCTGTGAAAACGAGAATTACGCTAATGAAGTTCCCGAAATTATTTGATATTTTAGGATGATTGCTAAATTATTTTTTTGAGCTGAACCGTAGCTATACCTGTTGTACTACACTCTACTCCGACGTTTTCGATGTAACTGCAAGAATGCTGTCCCCAGCTTCCGTGAGAACAACTGGTAATATTTTGTTCTGCACCATCGCAATTGACGTTAGATAACCATATAACCCCAGTACTGGAAGGAACCTGCACGTAATGAAGAGATCTGACTGCATCAGCGTAACCGAGTTGACGACATGTGACCTCGGCATTTTTGAAATTCCAACCCTTATCACAGATCATCCCCCACTGTCCATCGTGGAAAATCTCGACACGACCTTCTCCGTCTTCACTTAAAGGCCCTTGTAACCTCAAAGACCCTGGTTTATTTGCTTCAAAATAAAAGTTTATTTAAGAAAAACATTATATCGACAAGGGAACATCCATCTAAGGGACGCAAGGTAACTGTAGGGTTTATCAACGCAAACTTGAGATACAGTAAAATGTACAGGTTTATGAAGGCAAAAAGATTTCGGTTATATGAAAAACCGTGGGAAAAACTTTACGGAGAATGTTTACCATTTTTTATACATTTTACTCCAGCGTCTTCAAAATGTGAGCAATCGTGTCTTCCCCATCCGCGATGAGAACAGCTTGCTATATTTTCTTCATCACCGGAACAAGTGACGTCATCTAACCATATAGGTCCAGGATCGAAAAGAACGGCCGGCTTTCCCTGAAGTGATTGCGCTGCATCCAAATAACCAAGTTGACGACATACAACCCTCGCATTCTTTATATCCCATCCATCATCGCAGATTGAACCCCATTGTCCATCGTGGAACACTTCAACACGGCCAGTACCATATTCACGCAGGGGTCCTTGCAACCTCACTTGCACGGCCACAGGCTTATCTGAAAGAACTTAAAAGCATATATATAGAATGGAAATGGGGCGGAGGAAAGCTTGTCATGCATGATTTCATCGAAAATGGCAGTGACCGATGACAGTCATGTTAACAAAACCGAAATTTTATGATGTAGGAAGTACTCGTTGTCTTTCCAGTGATATTTTGGTGGAGATAGTGGGTGATGATTTAGAATCACGATGCAAAAGACGTGTATAAAACGAAGTTTCTGTTATCGGGAGTCGAGAAAGCATTAGCAATGTCTTGATGAGCAGCTCTGATCTTTCTTCGTAAGCGGCATTACCTGTTGTGCTACATTCCACTCCAGCGTCTTCGGAATGTGAACAATCATGATTTCCCAAACCATTATGAGAACAACTTGCTATATTTTGCTCTTCCCCAGTGCAGGCGATCACATCTAGCCATATAGGTCCTGAACCGGGTGGAACTTGTCCCCCAAGAAGATTTCTGGCAGCATCCGAATAACCAAGTTGGCGGCATACAACTCTAGCGTCCTCCATACTCCATCCATCATCGCAAATTGTTCCCCAGATTCCATTGTAAAATACTTCAACACGTCCGGTACCATTGACACTCAGCGGCCCTTGTAATCTCAGTGGTAAACTCTCGCCTGCAGAAAGGTCTAGCTTTTTATATCGTATTAATAAATATTTATTTGAAGTTTTTACTCGACCTTAAAAGGTCTTCATGCTGTACTCTAAATGCAACGTTCTTGTTTTTCAACGTAAAAATCCATTTTTCACAATACGTCAAGATCGCATCAGTTGTGTTTGTTGCTTAAGGAACATGTTTGACCTCTTAGGTTGCTTTTTCATATTTTTTAAACGATATTTTGGTTATGCATGATTATTACCTGCCGTTCTACATTCCACTCCAACGTCTTCAGAGTGAGTGCAATCATGGCTTCCCCATTCTGAATGAGGACATCTTTCAAGACTTTCTTCTCTCCCAGTACAATCGACGTTATCTAACCATATATGCCCAGACCCAGAAGGAATCTCGTCTAGAGATTTGAAGGCATCCTGATAACCAAGTTGGCGACACACAACCTTAGCATCTCTCATATCCCATCCATCATCACAAATTGTTCCCCACTGTCCATTGTAAAATACTTCAACACGACCTGTTCCATTTGCACTCGATGGTCCTTGTAGCCTGACTGTCACAGAAAGTATATATCTGAATTTACAAGTTCAGCAAGTGACTTTTTACTTTAGATAAACGGGTAAATTACAAAAAACCTACGATTATATAGCCACCCCGGTTGTAAGTTTCCTTCTATAGCTGATTAAATATGTTTTGTCATGCTTGACGTTAAAATACCTTCAATTCTGGAAGGAAATTTTGAGAGTTGCGGGCCCCAGACATGAATGAAAAAATGCGCTGTCGTTCGCTAATTATCATAACATGACCAAACTTAGTTGCTTTTAAAAACTCAAAAATTCGTAACAATCGCGAAGATAAAGCTGTGTTGTGTGGGGTTTGTCATGGAAAGTACATATAAATGGTCTAAAACCAGATTATAGCTGGAAATAACGATGACAAAAAAGAAAATTGTACTCGAAGTGTTAACAAAATCCGTCTTTATTACCTGTTCTACATTCTACACCAGCATCTTCTAAGTGATTGCAATAAGCATTGTGATCCCATCCCGCATGGGAACAGTTCGCCAAACTTTCTTCTTTTCCGGTACAATCCACGTGACCTAACCAAATATTTCCAGATCCAGAGGGAACCTGCCAAGCATCCGCATTGAGAGGTCTAACAGCCTCTTCATAACCAAGTTGACGACATGCAACCCTGGCATCATTTATATCCCAACCGTCGTCACAAATCGTCCCCCAGGTTCCATTGTAAAATACCTCAACACGACCGGTTCCATTTTCACTCAAAGGTCCTCTTAACCTCAAGGAAGCAGTCATAGCTAAGAATATACATAGATGTATTTTCGTTAATTACAATCTTTTTTCTCTGCTCATGATTTTCATTAAAAACTTATTCATGTTAATCGATCTGTAAAGACAATCGATTTGAAAAGAAATTAATCTTGCGCAATGTGAATATATGAATGTGTCTCGCACGCCACTGAAGACTCTTTATATGTAGCTACAGCTGGCGTGTAAGGAAGTCGTTATATATTGGTTCGTTGCTTGCCGCCTTGAAGAATTCCGTGTTAAAAGTAGCTAGTTTCGTGATATTACATTAGCGGTACTTCAGCATACTGTGTATAGGTACTCGCCGATGTAATATGACGAAACTAGCTACTTTTAATCCGGAATTTTTCATGACGGGAAGTAACGAGCCAATCACGAGTTCCTCACACGCTGTAGTTATATAATTATAAAGTGTCTTTTTATGACTAGAACCTATCATGTAAATAATCAGTAGAATTTTGTCAGTTTTGTGAGTAAAATTGGGCAATCTCTGAAGACTACTTATAATCTTAGGGCGACATTATTTTTTGTTTATTCGATATATATGTTTTTCGTCAACTTTACTTTAGTTACCCGAACTTAATGCTGCATGGTAGAACCCTCTTGAATTTGTAAAACGTCATTGATAATTTCGAGTATTTGTATCAAATTCCTGGTGTAGGGCTTCATTACGAGTTAATCACGAGTCCCTTACACGCTGTAGCTATATAATTATATATAATTATAGAGTCATCAGACAGACTTCCGAATTTTCATGGATTTTTTTAAAGTTCTAACTTTGAAAATTTGCTATTTGCCACAGAAAGTATATCGGAATTTACAAGTTCGGCAAGAGATTAGCTATAAATATGACCTTTTTACTTATATAAAAATTGAGATAAACCGGTATGACAGTATTTTAGTTGACACTCTGTTTATTCGAGTATTTATCATCTTAAAATTACAAAAATTTACGATTGCAGCCACCCGGTTGTAAGTTTCCTTCTACAGCTGATTAGAAATATATAGTTGTTTTCCCCGACCAGACCGAAAAAGTTGTTCATATACAAACAATATCATGCTTGATGGAAAGTACTTTCGATTCTGGAAGGAAATTTTGAGAGTTGTGGCCCCCAAAATGCAACAATCGCGTTAGCAGATCGCGCGCGGTGTTGTGTTGGCCTTTGTATGTATGTAATATGTATAAGAAACCAATTTGCGTATGACTCACCTTGGCATTGGCATGACACAAGAATTAGACCACCGAGCACGCAGTTTAGGATAATATCGCTTGCCATCTTACTAAAGTTAACTCAACCTGAGAAAGCAAATACAAGGATGTTTCCACTACCTGTTTCCTGTGATTTAAACAGCCTTATTCGTAGCGCGGGATATGTTAATAGGTAGGATTGACATTAGTTGGATGTTATGTTTACTTAGACGATTCACCCAAATTCTAGAAATATAAAGGCCAGGATGTAAATAAACATTTGACCTCATCAACTCTTTACCAGGCCCCACCAGTGAAATTTTCGCAGTAGTGGTAATTGAAACCTTATAATTATGCACGGGTAATATGAATGGGAAAAATTTGTCGGCCAACTTTTTCTCGTTAGTCGGTCAAAAAAGGCGTCCATCTTCTCCTTAAAAGGCGGCAAGAGTAGATGATTTGCGCGAAGTAATAAGAAGAAAATTAATCATCGCAGCTAGAAAGAGCGTAGCTACTTGAATTAGTGTAAATGTGCGAAATTTGCTAAATATAGCCATTCGAAGTTGGCATAATTTGTATACTTTTGTATTACGGGCTGAATGTGTAACCAAATTAGTTACAAACTTCCTTTTTTACTAGGTAAAAAAGTATACAAAATTAGCTACTTTCCATGGTTATATTTTCCGTAACACTAGACATTTTGCGGCCAAATTTGGCAATTATACTAATTTCGGTCTGCTCTTTTTAGCTGTGGTGATTTATTTCCTTCTTTATTTCCAACAATACACAAATGAGATTGCAAATGCGTGATTACAATTATTATGACATGACTTTTTGTTAATTACGATTTAAACACTATTTGAAGCTACTTTTATTCCCATCTAATAATGTAAAGAAGTTCAAGAAAGAAAATACTTGTCGGTTCCATATGGAGTTTTCAGTTTTTATGTTTTTCTTCGAAAAAATTATCCGTTCCGGCGGTTGGTGGCTTTTGTTTCCTCGTCAACAATTTGATTTGAGTATCACTTCGTTGGGTGTTGGTAATTCTTGGCGTGATTCTCAGTTTACCGTTAGTTCCAAAGGGCAACAAGATGAAAAAGACGAAAATAAACAGTCCTTGTAGTGTATTTAAAATACAGAACAGATACTGGAATGCTAGTTTGAAGTCGCCAATCGCCAGAAAACCAAAAGGCCAGGTCAATCCAAGGAGAACCGTAATTGCAATGCCCCGACGAGCTTTGTGGTAACCCGTTGTTTTGTGGTTGAACGAACCTAGGATCGATCGTATGATCGCACAGAAAGCCACGATGTTCCCGACGAATACGACGACAGCTGGTGTGACGAACGCCACGATGAATGGTACGCCCAGCAGTCGACAACTAAAAGAGTAAATCAGAAAAATTAATAATCTAGTAAGCCATTTACGATAGGATCTGCTAAGAAAATAGCTTCTCTCTTGATAATGTATTTTTTACATGATTTTATTGTATACTTTCAAGCTTTGAATAACAGAATAGACACCTAAAAACCCAACAGTGCAAATTAGCAGTCGTTGCTTACGTATAACGTAGTTCAATGTCCATTAAATTTTTGAAGTAGAATTTAGAAGTACATCTTACCAAAATTTCGTGTCGCCATATTTATCAAATGCAACTATCGTTGTGATTGCTACGATCACAGCAGGTGTGCCTAAAATATATCAAAGCTTATTGTCAGAAAGAAATTTAACACGAGAGAATTGTGCAAGCAGCTTCTATTATGCAGCTTTAGGAATGACGAGCAGTTCAACTATGAGTGTAAGATTTGTTATTTTCCAGCCATTCGTCATTTCGCGCCAAACTCGTTGTGTTTGCTTACGTAGAATTTTTTGCTCCGAGTAGTGTATCTTCTTCCTTAACGGCTGTGCCATGGAGGGATATAGTTTTAAACGCTCAGAAATTCCTGAATTTTTCCATAATAACATACAAGAAAATAAATCAGCATTTAGGTGACTGTCATATCATTCCCATCTGTTTTCAATAATGTCTTGTGCAATTGTTTTTCACCTCACTAGTGCTTGTTGCCACAGTGGCGTGGCGAAGGGCGGGTATGTCGTTAGATAAAGGTTGCGTACAATCACGGCTGGATCCAGCACTAGTGCACTAATTTGCATCACAAAACAAAATGGTTATTTTTAGCAGCTTTCTTGTGTCATGCAAATTAGTGCACTAGTGCTGGATCCACCCCTGCGTACACTGCTTGATGCCAACAAACTGTTATAATAAACCATGCACGCCTATATGTTACCGAAAAACGTAGACTTGCCCTCCTTTCCAAATATGATATGCTTGCCATGGGCTTTTTTGTAAAACAACGAATAAACAGAGTTTTAAAATTGACCAGCATTTGAGAGCGCTTGCGTACGCCGTTAGCTTTCAGCCAGCGGTTTGTCGTATCATGAATTTTAATACCTTACCCCATGCAAATAGACAGTATCTTAGCATGAACTTGGATTGGGAAGAAGAAGGGAATATTTTCACAAATGCCAGATACATATTCAACGCTTCTACCCCCATCCACAAGAATGTTGCTAACAAGAAGTAATGCAAGGCAATTGCCGCTGCCCGACAGCTGTACAACGTGGATTTGGCCTTCTCCGCCGCAACCATAAATACGAATATCATTAGTGTCAAGGCGATGCAGAAGTTCAACAAAATCTTGTTTGGGACCTTTTTCCTGCGCTCTCTAAAATATAAAGAGACGATGGATTAGCAGGTTTAAAGGGACATCAATGCGAACCAAAGTCATTCTTTTTGGAAGTGATTGCTAATCTCGTGCTTTGGTTTCAAACTTGCGAGTAAATGTGTTAAAGTGGTATCAAATGCGGTGAAACAGCTGCCAAAAATGGCGGCTGTAATAACATCAATTTTTTTTATTCACCTTGCTCTTAGTGTCGCGATTATCGTCATAAATAGTCCAACCAATGATAGAGCGCACCCAACGTAACTGACTACACCAAGTATCTTATGGTGTGTCGGGGTATTCGTGGTTGCCGTCATGTCCTAGAAGAAACCGGAAAAACTAATTTACCCCAGCAATTCACATGAACTGACTGAACATTGGTATAACTAAGGGAAGAAAGTTAACGTTTTAACAGAAGTCAAAAGAGAACAAACTTCTCGGATAAAAATGATATACACGTGAGTCAAATTTAGAGAATTAAGAATTTAGTCAGGTTATTGCAGACTTGTGTATATAGATTTATACCATTAGCATTGCAAAGTTGGTCATATGATTACAGTTGCAAAGAACTCTTCCATTATCTAAAACTCGTTCAAGCCAACAACCTTCTTGTGACCAATTTTCCAGACTAAAGTCCCAAAAGGAACACAAAGCACTGTTTTTATTTCCAGTTTTCTGAGAAATACTTGTGAAAACGAGCTTAACTGGCTCCTTCAAATTTACTACCGGTGTCCCCTTAATGCTTCCAGCGATTACAAAGCTATCCAAGCTACTTTGAGTTTCCTTGGTATCTGAAGGAATTGTTCGAAAAAATTTTGTCTCAATAAAAAGGAAAAAAATGACTCTCTGTTTTATGAAATTCTTTGTAACGTTTGCCTCTTTAAATAATGTTCGTGGAATAATAAGTGAAGCTGACGTGATGGATGAAACGATATCATTAAAGTTTGTTGAAATGCTCGTATTCTTCGGGTGTGCCTCTCCAGGCCTCTTTACCACTCCTGAAAATGTAAGCCCCGTAAAGTCTTTTGGTTGTATCTCTTGCAGATTAAGACCATAGTTTCTTTTAATTTTTTCAAATTTTCGGCCCGTACCAATAGGTATTGCTTCTGCGATATTATTTAATGTTTCAACAATCCTGTAAAGAAAAAACAGTAAACAAATTACATTAACAATGTTAATTTTCGCATGAAATAATTGTGATGTAATATCTAAGAGGGGCATTGTCATCAAAAAAATTCTGCAAAAAACTAGCTTCGATCGTTATGATACTGTGAAACCAGCCATCTAAAACAAGGGGGAATAGTGTTTTAGACCAATCAGCGAGTTTGTTTACATTTTTAATAAATGCATAAACTACTTTGACTACTTCCGGTAAAAAGGTTTTTTTTACATGAAGTATTAAAAATTTAGGCATTTTGATTGGCTTTGCCTGAAAAATGTAAAGGAATATGTGGATTAGTTTAAAACGAAATTTGACCTTGTTGCGATCTAAAGTGTCGATATCTGGACAACGGACTGGTTAATTTATATACCTTGAGGAAGTGTTTTTGTTGTGTTGGCTTTTTGAGATTTCTTCCACACTTGCATCCAGGACATTGTCTATTGTGGTGAGCGAATCCTCAAAGGTCTATGGATGAATATGGAGAACACAGACTGAATACGAAGACGGATGCGCGTTACTAGTGTGAAGAAACATGCAGTCATACACAAGGTGCCTTGAATGCAGTTTGAAGTCTGATGGATGTGTATTACGTTGCAAAATGTCGGAGCCGTAACTAACCTCGTTCATTTTTTCCTTCACCGCGGCAATTTTTTCTAATATTGTGGCAATATTATTAATGTCCCCAGCTGAAGTCCTTGGATTATGATCAAACAGATTTTTCAAATCTCGAGAGACTTTCAACACATTAGCTGTATCAACGTCTTCCTACAATGAAAATGGTTGAAAGTACTTTTAGGTTACTCTGAAATACGCTGCCTGTATATCACCTCGCCGGGCATTTAATTACCTGCGCCAAAAGAAAAAGATCTTTGCTTCGTTTCTCTCGAAATTTGCATTGGTCCGCCATGACCTGGCCCCAGGCACACCCATTTTCTGTTTGGTTTGTGTGCAAACATTTACGAGTTGCGAAGGACTTGCGGTTGTTCGGACAAGCAAGTGTAGCAAAACTTCCAACTGAAGTTTCCGGCCACCGAAAAACTCCATACGCCTCGTGTGAGCCATCTTCCATGTTCGGACAGGAGACTTAAAATGGAAGCAGTTGGAAGCGAAAATAAAGCATATTTACTGCCTGCTGAGACATTATATGCACTCTACTATGTTTGGCTGCGTTGTGTGCGGTCATGAAAAGTACATATACAGTAGCAGGCAAAAGTTTGAGTCCAGTCGTTGTAGAATTCCAGTATTAAATCCTGGCAGCGTATTCGAGTAAAGACATGCGTGCTAGTGTTTCAATACTGTAAACCATATTAATTGCACACTGTTTTGGTCCTAATGATCTAAATTATAACAAAATAAAGTTCTCATTCCTTTACACTGCCCAAGATGGGTGGGAAAAAGGGCAAAGTAATGGTGCACAAGGACAAATAGTTGCATTAAGTATTGAAGGATTCTTTCCTCGTAAGATCGCAGAAAAAGTGAGAATTTCAAAGGGTGGTATGGAACTAACCTTGGAGAGGTTCGAAGAAACTAAATCCTACTCAAGCAAACTTTTAGCTGTTTCGGTCATGCTGGGTTTGGCAATATTGAAAGATATAATAGGAACCTAATCAAGGAAAAGTATCATCCGATTCTTCAAGGACATGGAATTTCATCTGGTACAAAGATAATCGCGCGTCTAACTACATGATAATCACCCTAAGCACATGCACATCTTCTATGTGCCAGAAATCTTTTAGAAGCAAACTCGTTTTGGTGATCTCGTTCTCATGGCTTTCCACCCCAAATTCCAGATCTAAAACCTATGGAGCACTTGTAGGACCGTTTTAACCGGAAAAGGGCGAGGCACAGACCCGCCAGTTAGAATGACTTGAGGCAAGTGGTCAACGAATGCTGGCAAGGTATCGACGTGCGACATTAAAAAATCTATGGAGGCTATGCCAGCAAGAATAAAGGTCATTTCAAGAGCAAAAAAGGCGGACACTAAGCATTCACATGTAATGCATGTTTGCACATTAACACACGTTAAATGAATATCATAACATCTCATAGTTGTTGTGCAGCATGTATTTTTCAGTCTACTTATTTACTTTTTTCTAGTTCACTTATAGGTAAGGTTTTCTGTAGAAAATTAATGTATGCTGCTAAAACAATGAGATACAGTCACTGGACTCAAACTTTTGCCTCCTACTGTACATGGTTTAAAAAACAGATTACAGCTGGAAAACCAAAGCTGAATCTGTATCAGACATAACGATGACAAAAGAGAGAATTTTACTCCAAGTGTTAACAAAATCCATCTTTATTACCTGTTCTACATTCTACACCAGCATCTTCTAAGTGATTGCAATAAACATTGTGATCCCATCCCGCATGGGAACAGTTCGCCAAACTTTCTTCTTTTCCGGTACAATCGACGTGACCTAACCAAATATTTCCAGATCCAGAAGGAACCTGCCAAGCATTCGCATTAAGAGGTCTAACAGCCTCTTCATAACCAAGTTGACGACATGCAACCCTGGCATCATTTATATCCCAACCGTCATCACAAATCGTTCCCCAGGTTCCGTTGTACCTCAACACGACCGGTCCCATTTTCACTCAAAGGTCCTTTTAACCTCAGGGAAGCAGTCATAGCTAAGAATGTATATATTTAGTTATATATTTAGTTAGAACAACTTTTCAATTTGCAAACAATTTGGTCGGTAAAACCGTAATTAATGCAGCTTTCTTTGTTGTCGTCTGACCGTATGCATTAAACTTTGCAAGTTTGTGTTTCCACTAGCTTATCCAGTGCATCCACTACGGGGCAGAATTTTTTTATCTGGCATCTTTATTACCTGTTGTTTGACATTCCACCATGGCGACTTTTAAATTACTGCAAGAGGTATTTCCGCTACCCCATCCTTCATGGGAACAATCGGTCAAACTACTCTCTGTCCCAGTACACGCGACTTGAGATAACCATATAACAGCTCCATATGGAACCTGGCCACCAGGAATAGCTCCCACCGCATCTGGATAACCAAGTTGACGGCATGCAACTCTAGAATTATTTATATGCCAACCATCATCACAAATTGCTCCCCATTGTCCGTTGTGGAGTACTTCAATACGCCCTGTTCCATTCGATGGTCCTTGTAACCTCAGTGACCTTGATTTACCTGCAGCAACTGAAAATAAATATAAAGAGAGTGGTCGTACTGCTATAAGAAAAGGATACACCGGATAAACGGCTTTAAACCACAGATAATACTTCGACACAATTGGTACCATTCTCGCTTATAAGGTGAATGATATATTCACAGCTGCACAAACTAGGAGATACGAAAGTTTAAGGCCATAAGTAGGAAGTAAAAGTGACTGCACAAGCTATAGACCTCCAGCAACCTGTACTCTCATTTCTCGATGTCTCTGGTAATTTTATCAATCATAATCCTATAATTTCTATTTATTTAAAATTTTTAAAGAACTTATTTTATGTTGCGAATTGTTTTATATTAAATGCAATGATAGTTAATTTGTTGAAGTTGTCAATGAAACTTTTCATTCTAGCCAATTAGGACGTTGCTAATTACCATCCTTCATCGACTGAAATGTTTTAAGTTTACGTAATGACAGTTAATTTGTCGAAGTTGTCAATGAAATACAAACTTTCCATTCATTGCGATCCTTCATATTATGCGCATGCGCGTAACTAGCAAAACCATCAAGCATTGACCGCCTGAAACCCACCTTCAATCACATGAATCTCCGGGCGGAATTAGTGCCCTCGCACGGCGCTAGCTCGGGAGTTTTAATATGTGCAACATGCCACATGCGAAACGACTGAAAAAACAAAGCTGAATCCGTATCAGAGATAACGATGACAAAAGAGAAAATTGTACTCGAAGTGTTAACAAAATCCATCTTTATTACCTGTTCTACATTCTACTCCAGCATCTTCTAAGTGACTGCAATAAGCATTGTGATCCCATCCCGCATGGGAACAGTTCGCCAAACTTTCTTCTTTTCCGGTACAATCGACGTGACCTAACCAAATATTTCCAGATCCAGAAGGAACCTGCCAAGCATTCGCATTGAGAGTTCTAACAGCCTCTTCATAACCAAGTTGACGACATGCAACCTTGGCATCATTTATATCCCAAAGGTCATCACAAATTGTCCCCCAAGTTCCATTGTAAAAGACCTCAACACGACCGGTTCCGTTATTACTCAAAGGTCCTCTTAACCTCAAGGAAGCAGTCATAGCTAAGAATATACATAGATGTATTTACGTTAATTATATAGAACAACCTTTCCAGATTTCAAATTGTTTAGTCGGTTAAATCGTAATAAAAAGTAACGAATATTTATTATTTACTATTTACGTGCTTGCATGATTGAAAATAGTATAAATAGCTTTATAAAGATACAGTCTTTTATCTCTGCTCATGATTCTCACTAAAATCTTATACGTTTTCTTGAAAATCATTCGCCTTCGTATTTGATAGTAAGAATCGTAGAATGATTGTACAAGGCATAAACCAATACAGATTACACTTACCATAAGGCTATTTAGTTTCAACTCAGGAAAAATCTCCTTTGGATTGAAACGGACATTTCCTTTGTCGGTGAGTTCTCAAGCGGCTTTTATACAAAGGAAACTTTCCTGTCCAGTCCGATCCAAAGGAGAATTTTCCTGAGTGAAAACGAGCCTTTAGAAGTCAATGCGATTGTTAAGAAGCCTTGTTGCTCTGTATTTGGCTCTTAGCTCTATCATAAAGTGCTGTTGTGCCTGGTTAGGCAGAACTCAGGCCTGGCTTAAACTAGCTCCTAGAATCGACGAAAATTTTCATTTTTAGGGCCTGTTTATATGGAGCGAGTATCCTGGCTAGGCGAGGTAAAAAGTGCATCAGATCAAAGGCGTAACCTGCATGATTATACTCTTTCATTATATGCAGATTCACCTCGCCCTACATACGTATCAATTTATCCATCGATCGAAATTAATTTTACTATTATTATTCCCGCTTCTAAGCCTTCTATGATGAGTTTCCTGTACCTAATTGGCCAATATGATCTCAGCTATTCAGCGATGAATATCAACTTCCCGTTTGGAAACAATAACAACGCAACTAAAATTCGGGAACAGCTATCAACATTTATGTTTATAAGTATATGACTTAAAATAATACAATGAAGAATATTTTAACGCTCTTTTATACGAAGCAAACCCGAACGCGGTATCCTAATGAGTCGTAAAGGTATTATTAAAGACCTTACCAAATCTAGGACGGGAATCATAATTCTGTCTTAATTTCTACAATTTCACAACAGGAATAAAAATTATGGACTCCTTTTGGTAAACATGCAAGGTCAGAGCTGTATGTACAACTAATTAAAACTGGGCTTCAAACAAATATACTGCTTGATTTTCATGTCACGTCCCCCTCGTAGATTTGGTGCTTCTTAAAGGTGCCTATTGGGTACAGGAAACCAACTTCAGCTTCATTAAACGCATAATATAAAATTATTCAATCTGCGGGAAGTATATCGCGTTGTGCGTACGCGTTTTGCTTCTGCCATGCTCTGAGCTAAAGATAAGTAAGCCGCTACAGGTTCAGAAGCTTCCGCTTAAATTATATGACGACTATTGTAAAAATAGACACTTTAGTTTCCTAACTGTATAAAAGTTCGAGGGGGAGGGAGG